CGATTAAAGGCTGTGACTAGTTAGTACTTGTCAATTACTTTCCCTGAGTACGTTTTTGGGTGAGGTTTGTAATTGAAAAGACAAGGCACATCACTCTGCATCCTTTTTGCCATTTGCATGTGGCTATAATTATAAAATGCAAATGTCCTCTATTTACCAAGGTATTCTCTCTCTGAGACGATGTGACCAGAACTCCCTAGGGTTATATAGCGCCACACAGAGCTTGGCTTAGCAGCGGAGATGGAACAGACTCCAATGAACTTTTAGCCTGTCAATAATTATGTCGGTTTCCTGGGGCAGCTAAAAGTTCACTGCCTACATTGTCTAATTGGAATTTACTCTCGCCTGACAGTCACATAGGAAAAAAATAAGCATTACTTGACCATGTTGTGGGTGTGTATACAATAAGGTGGCCTTTACTGAACTATAGATAGGACATTGCTTTCCTCGTGGTCAGTTATAATTGACCATTTACAATGTCACATTCAAATTCATATTAATTAGATTTTAATTGATATGTGTTGATAGCAGATAATGTTTAATATAATTTGCTGTTGAAAATACACTTGCTTGCTTGCATTGACCATTTTAGTAAGATCCCAATGACAATGGGGAATTTACATTCTTGATATTCTGTGTGGATTGGTCAGATGTTTTGATACTACATTTCAAAGAATAACCTTGAGGAGTTCCCTCTTCTTGATAGGGGCCAATTTCTTAATTAGATATCAGACACAAGTTATGGAGGTTATTTAACTAAGATGTTCTGAATAATTAATTAATGTCGTAATTAGACTTTTAATTGATAATGAATATGTGTATATTGGAAAATGGAATGGAATGGATTAAAATGCAAAATCATGCTTTTAAACTTATTTGTAGATTTTTGACTAGTGTCAGCTTGTAGTGGTTTGCTTGTTGTGGTTGGCTGAGGTTAGACTGGACCACTTGGTCATCTTATTAACTCTTTCTTTTGCCACTCAGAGCAAATACAGTATGTCATGAGCTCCTCACATCTTCATCTGCAGTCCCTCCAAAAGGGTGTATAATGCATTAATACAATTTTGGGCTGGAATCATTTGAGAGTTCTTACAATGTACAAGAAAGATCCTCAATTAAATACAAAGACAGCATTGCCACCAGTGTATTACTCTTTCATTAATTTCAGTTTGCACTTGAATTCCAATGCATAGTTTTATATGCTCCTCGCGTCCTCCTCACCTATAGACACACTTAGTGTGGTTTTTGAAGTGGGTGGCTGATGCGTCTTATAAATTTCCTTATCTTCCCTATCGCCATTAGGATTGAAACCTTGTTTTTCTGGCAGCTTAACATCTTAATGCGATTGAAAGACCTACATTCTACACCAGAGTTGCCTTGGCAACAAAGTTTTCTTTCTTCACCGGAGATGCTGAGAGATCAATAGAGTATCCTCGACGGTGATGGCAGGAAACGCTAGAGCACAGATGGTCCTCAGAGGAACCATGAGCTCTGTGGCCTAGTTACCATTTGAATGCTTACACAGTTATTGGAGAACAATATTCTACCTAAAAGTATATGAGACAAATGATTTTTTTGCAGTGATGAAACATATTTTCAGACCAACCGAGAACACATTCATTGTATAAGACTTTTGTTGTATGAAATAAGATGAGTTTTTCTATAACCTACTTTAATGTAACCTCCCCAGCTTCTAAAAAAGGGTCACATTGAGATAAATAATTTACACAAGCCAGGCACAGTGTGCTGCCAGCAATAAAGCCCCCCATGTGACATTCTCTGAGTGTGAAGAACTGATTTTACCTTAATGCAAATGTACATATAGGAAATATACACATAGGAATAAAACAGGCTGTCGTAGTCTTAAACTTAGTAGTTATTGTTCATGTTTTTCTCTCTATATCTGGAGTTTCTTAGAATAAAAAGTAGAATATATGTTCTCAGTACAACAATCAAAAGATGAATGTCATACAGTGCATTCGGAAAGTATTCAGACCCCTTGACTTTTTCCATGTTTTGTTACGTTACAGCCTTAATCTAAAATTGATTAAATAAATAAATAATGCTCATCAATCTACCCACAATACCCCATAATGATACATTTTAGCTAATTTATTTTAAAAATAAGAAAACGGAAATATCACATTTACATAAGTATTCAGACCCTTTACTCAGTACTTTGTTGAAGCACCTTTGGCAGCGATTACAGCCTTGAGTCTTCTTGGGTATGACGCTACTAGCTTGGCATACCTGTATTTGGGTAGTTCCTCCCATTCTTCTGTGCAGAACCTCTCAAGCTCTGTCAGGTTGGATGGGGAGCGTCGCTGCACAGCTATGTTCAGGTCTCTCCAGAGATGTTCGTCCGAGTTCAAGTCCAGGCTCTGGTGGGCCACTCAAGGACATTCAGAGACTTGTCCCGAAGCCACTCCTGCGTTGTCTTGGCTGTGTGCTTAGGGTCCTGTTGGAAGATGAACCTTCGCCCCAGTCTGAGGTCCTGATGGCTCTGGAGCAGGTTTTCATCAAGGATCTCTCTGTGCTTTGCTCCGTTCATCTTTCCCTCAATCCTGACTAGTCTCCCAGTCCCTGCCGCTGAAAAACATCCCCACAGCATGATGCTGCCACCACCATGCTTCATCGTAGGGATGGTGCCAGGTTTCCTCCAGACGTGACGCTTGGCATTCAGGCCAAAGAGTTCAATCTGCGTTTCATCAGACCAGAGAATCTTGTTTCTCGTGGTCTGAGAGTCCTTTAGGTTCCTTTTGGCAAACTCCAAGCGGGCTGTCGTGCCTTTTACTGAGGAGTGGCTTCCGTCTGGCCACTCTACCATAAAGGCCTGATTAGTGGAGTGCTGCAGAGATGGTTGTCCTTCTGGAAGGTTCTCCCATCTCCAAAGAGGAATCTTGAGCTCTGTCAGTGACCATCGGGTTCTTGGTCACTTCTTTGACCAAGACCCTTCTCCCCTGATTGCTCAGTATGGCCGGGCGGCCAGCTCTAGGAAGAGTCTTTGTGATTCCAAACTTCTTCCATTTATGGCTTGGGGACCTTCAACGCTGCATACATCTTTTGGTACCCTTCCACAGATCTGTGCCTCGACACAATCCTTTCTCGGAGCTCTACAAACAATTCCTTCGACCTCATGGCTTGGTTTTTGCTCTGACATGCACTGTCAACTGTGGGACCTTATATAGACAGGTGTGTGCCTTTTCAAATCATGTCCAATCAATTGAATTTACCACAGGTGGACTTCAATCAATTTGTAGAAAGATCTCAAGGATGATCAATAGAAACAGCATGCACCTGAGCTCAATTTCGAGTCTCATAGCAAATGGTCCGAATACTTTTTGTTATTTTTCTTACGTTTTCGCTTTGTCATTATAGGATATTGTGTGTAGATTGATGAGGATTCTTTTTAGAAATCAATTGTAGAATAAATCTGTAACATAACAAAATGTGGAAAAAGTCAAGGTATCTGAATACTTTCTGAAGGCACTGTATATTATATACGATAAAGAAATGGAAAGATAAAGATCATCTGATCCAAAGGAAAAGATGAAAGGCAAACTAAAGGCAATTCAAAAAGAATGACAGTCTAGACAAGTAGACGTTGTTATTTTCAAAACACATAGCCAGGAATGATTGGTTACCGGTGGAGAACAATCAGTTATCATCATATCCCTGTGATAAACATTGAGGGTTAAATGCATCACCAACAAAGATTGATGCCGAAAAGAGGGAAAAGTACTGCATGGCGATATGTCAGCCATCATGAAAGAATGGGGTTTAATTGGGATTTGGTGGTTATTACACCCAAGGATCTCTTTTTGCACCTGTCACTGCAGACTTATGCTCTCACAGAGCTGGAATCAATAGCACTAAATAGGGATCAGAGAATCTGAACATCAGCCTCAACACCTAAGAACCATCAAATAATACCTCCATCTGATGGATTTAGAACCAAATTCTCTTCATCTCACTATTCACCTTCATGTTTTGTTGCTATGATTTAGTTGACAGACTCATGTCTAATTCTGCAGTACATTTCTGAAGCATGAAGTTTGAAGGGAGCATGAAAAGGTCATATAAATCTTGAAGTACCCCTTCTCCCCTTAATTCCCTACACTGTTGTGAAGTTCAGAGCTAGAAAAACAGACAAACCATACGGTATGACAGGGAATTATATGACATTAGCTACATGTAGGCCTCTCGAGTGACGCAGCAGTCTAAGGCACTGCATCGCAGTGCTAGAGGCGTCACTAAAGATCCGGGTTCGATCCCGGGCTGTGTCATAGATGGCCGCGACTGGGAGACCCATGAGGCGGCGCACAATTGGCCCAGCATCTTCTGGGTTAGGGGAGGGTTTGGCTGGCTGGGATGTCCTTGTCCCATCGCGCTCTAGCGACTCCTTGTGGCGGGCCGGGCGCCTGCACGCTGACTTCGGTCGCCAGCTGTATGGTGTTTCCTCCAACACATTGGTGCGGCTGGCTTCTGGGTTAAGCAAGCAGTGTGTCAAGAAGCAGTACGGCTTGGCAGGGTCGTGTTTCGGGGGACACATGGCTCTTGCCCTTCGCCTCTCCCGAGTCCGTACGGGAGTTGCAGCAATGGGACAAGACTGTAACTACCAATTGGGGAGAAAAAGGGGTAAATAGTACCGAAAAAATAAAATAATTTGCTCCATGTGAAAACGACACAGCAATTATTCAAATTTGGATGGGATTGACATATTAGCCAGTTTGTTTTGCTGGACCATTCTCTTTTTTTTCTGGAATAATGCCAAAGCTGGGGGAGTACAGTTCAGTCGTCTATCATCTCACCACACTAAAAACAACCTCTGACATGTCTCTCTGGTGATCGGTACCCTACTGGCAGTTTCAATCATCTTGGTTGATGACTCCATTTGTGTATGCTCATTATAAATGGTATGATTTTAAACCCCCCAGATATACTTATTTTAACATATCTCTGCCATTTCTCTCTCTATCTCCATCTTTATCTGTTCCAGGATCTGGAAGCTGATAGACAGACAGACCATGGATCGTCTGGTTGTGTGTGTGCTGCTGTGTGGACTGCTGTGTGCGGTGCTGGTGAAGGGCTACAACTGCCCCGGCCGCTGCATCTGCCAGCACCTCTCCCCCACTCTGACTCTGCTCTGCGCTAAGACCGGTCTGCTGTTTGTGCCCCCAACCATCGACCGCAAGACTGTGGAGCTGCGTCTCACAGACAACTTCATCACCATCATCCGCAGGAAAGACTTTTTCAACATGACCAGCCTGGTCCACCTCACCCTGTCCCGTAACACCATCAGCCAGATTACGCCCCACGCCTTCCTGGGCCTGCGCTCTTTACGAGCCCTCCACATGGACGGCAACCGCCTCAGTGTCATCAAGAGCGACCACTTCAAAGGCCTGGTCAACCTCCGCCACCTCATACTGGGGAACAACCAGATTCACCACGTGGCCCCAACCTCATTTGATGAGTTTGTGTCAACCATCGAGGACCTGGATCTGTCCAACAACAACCTGAGGACCCTGCCCTGGGAGGAGATAGGCAGGATGAGCCACATCAACACCCTCACCCTTGATCACAACCTGATCGATCACATCGGAGCTGGGACTTTCACGCTCCTCACCAAGCTGGTTCGTCTGGATATGACCTCCAACCGGCTGCAGAAGCTACCTCCGGACAGCCTGTTTCAGCACGCCCAGGTGCTGTCAGATGCCAAGGGCTCCAACCCGTCCTCCCTGGCGGTGAGCTTTGGGGGGAACCCTCTCCACTGTAACTGTGAGCTGCTGTGGCTCCGCAGACTGACCCGGGAGGACGACCTGGAGACCTGCGCCTCCCCGGATCACCTCATGGACAAGTACTTCTGGTCCATCCAGGAGGAGGAGTTCATCTGCGAGCCCCCGCTCATCACCAAACACCTATCCACCAAGCCCTACGTCATGGAGGGCCAGGGGGTCACCCTCAAGTGCAAGGCCATGGGAGACCCGGACCCGGCCATCCACTGGCGCTTCCCCGACGGCAAGCTGGTGCACAACAACTCCCGCACCATCCTGTATGACAACGGTACCTTGGACATCCTCATCACCACCCTGAAGGACAGCGGTGCCTTCAACTGTGTGGCCTCCAATGCTGCAGGCATCGCCACAGCTGTCGTGGAGATCAACATGATCCCTCTGCCCTTGTTCGTCAACAACACATTGCACCACATGCGCGAGGCCGATCGGGGCCTCTCTGACATCACCACCTCCTCCAAGTCAGGCAACGACACCAAGGGCCATGACAAACACCAGGACAAGAGGGTGGTGGTGGCCGAGCTGACCTCCTCCTCGGCTGTGATTCGTTGGCCCTCTGAGCGCCACATCCCAGGCATCAGGATGTACCAGATCCAGTACAACAGCACTGCAGACGACACACTGGTTTACAGGTAAGCCATGTGGGGGCTGGGGCTGGAGGAATGGGAGCGCTGGGGCTGGAGGACTGGAGCTGGTGGAAATGGGGTTTCGTTTAGTTTATTAGGATCCCCATTAGCTACTGCACATGCAGCAGCTACTCTTCCTGGGGTCCACATAAAACATACAAATAAATGACAAAGTACAGAACGGTTATAGACAAGGACAGTAAATTCAACAACAAAAAAGGGGGTGGGGATGGGGCTGGGGTGGGGGAGGCGGTTAGGGGGGAGAAGGTCTGAGCCAGCTCTGGAGACTGTCTGAGCCATCTGGAATGCCCATCTGCTGAATGGCATGACAGTCCATTATAATAGATCCATAGCTCCCAGAGCTGCATAGGTGCTGTATCATTAACTATGTCACTAAATGTAAGTAAGCGCACAATTTTATTATGGTTTAGGGATAAAAGAGTGTATAAACTGACCATATGTTGGTTTTAATAGATAAACATGCTGAGTATGATTTTCCATTTCCAGTTGTTAGCTCTAGGCCTGTGGGAAAACAAAGATTACACGATTTAAGACTTATGACTTGGCCTTTAGAGAGTAAATATAACCTTTTCTCTCAATATTATCCAGCTTCAGCAGGCACTATCACGTCCCAGTCCTTAACCCCAATCCAACGATAACCCCATTCCTTACCATAATCCCAATAGGACATCATTGTGCCTAGGACACCCGTGAGTCCCATTCTGGGACATGAACATGTCTGCTATCTGCTGCAGTTGGAGGCTTCTCCCATTTTGAAGAACTATCAGTTGAACATTAGAGGATCCCTGTTTAATATGATAGATATTACAACATGTAATTTATTCCACATTGATGAATGACTCATGTCTACTCCGTTTCACTAAACACATACAAGGTGATGAGCTGCTATTTAGCACCAATTAAGTAGTCAACCATAGAGTAATGATAGGTTTGATTGCATCGCATTGATGAGTAAAAGCACAATGGGTCAAACAAACTTTATATTGTCAATACAGAGATTATTATAGTAATGTCACATGTATAGCTGATAATTTGACAAATAAATATTGTATTAATACCAGAATGGGAATTTTAAACCAAAGTCTTTGCATATAGCCTATAGCCAAACGTGAATTGCAGAAAGCTATTGTACCTATTGGCCAATCCGAATTGTGAATTGCTGTAGAATTTATTAACATAATAGCTATATACAGTTATTGAGTTCTATGTTTCAATTGGTGTAGGTCCCATTTCCTTATCTTGAACATAAATTCATGATGAGGAATATTGTAGAACTGACTAATGCAAAGTGTGCACTCTAATGCCAGGGTTACGGAGTTGATACACAGAATTAAATCATTCATTTCAGTCCATCTTAAATGAGCTATGTATGTGCTAACGCTGCCATTTTGCATTACTCATTCAAATGCCCCTATTGAGTTGAGAGTACGTAGGCCTATTTGACCCAATGTGGACCACTGCACTAGCAGGGCAGGAATTAAGACCGTATCCTGAACTTTTCTCAAGGTGTCATAAGGCCAAGTTTAGAGCTGTTGTTGTTGGTTGACTTTGCTATTTTTATCGCTTCTGATTTAATTCGCTATTCTCCTGTATAATGTTCTCCCGTATGTTTAAACAGCGACCTGAGTGTTTTGTCTTTAGGTGATACATTATTACCTACAAGTGAGAACCATCAGTGTTCCTTGAGGGGAATATTATCATGCTTCTAATTATATTAACACAGATGTTTTTCTCCTTCATGTTCAAAGACGATGTGTTTTATTTCACACAACATCACACTTGTCTTCGCACCATGGGCATTTGGCCAGAAGCCTGCATTGTCCTTCCCTGTAGAGTGTGAGTGTGAGTGTGAGTGTGAGTGTGAGTGTGAGTGTGAGTGTGAGTGTGAGTGTGAGTGTGAGTGTGAGTGTGAGTGTGAGTGTAGGTACCTTGTTTGTCACCTTGCTGTTTAACCTTTGCCATCATAGCATACATAAAATGCTGGGGGAGTCATTTCTCACTGTCACCCTGTCTAGAAGTCAAGTGTCAGCACTGATGTCTTTACTTGGGCCCCTAATATGAGGGTGATATTTAAAGCCTCACTGGAGCTGAACTAAGTTGACATGGCTGTCTCTTTTCTGTGTTTATCATACACCTCTGTGTCAGGTTAACACTTATGTGCATGTCGTTAATAAGAATGCAGTGTGACACTGTCTGACACTGTTTTGTTCCATACAGTATATTGGTGGTAATTGAGGGGGGCAGTCAATACTGCCCTGGCAAGGCTAACCTTCACCACTCCTGTGTATTCCTTCCTTTTTTCTGCAGAATGATCCCGTCCACCAGTAAGACCTTCCTGATCAACGACCTGGCGGCGGGCCGGGAGTACGACCTGTGTGTCCTGGCGGTGTACGACGACGGCATCACCTCTCTGACGGCCACGCGCGTGGTGGGCTGCGTCCAGTTCCACACAGCCAGCGAGGTCAGCCAGTGCCGCTTCATCCACAGCCAGTTTCTGGGTGGCACCATGATAATTATCATTGGCGGCATCATTGTGGCCTCAGTACTGGTGTTTATCATCATCCTCATGATCTGCTACAAGGCCCACAGCAGCCCAGAGGACAGCAAGGCCAAGGTCAGCTCCAGCATGCACTCCCAGACCAACGGCAGCCAGCACAGACTCCAGCGCTCCACCTCCAAGCAGCCTGCTGAGGACAGCCACCAGAGAGAAGCCCTACCAGTGGCAGCCAAGGAGTGCATGGCCCTGGTGCTGAAGGTGGACAATGACAAGAGGGAGTGGGACACCCCTCCGGCCACCAGGGCCATCCTGGAAGTGGAGCTGCCCCCCCTGCCCACGGACAAGATGAAGAGGACCAGCCTGGACGCCCAGCACTCTGGATCTGGCCCCCCGTCAGAGGACACACAGACAGACAGCAGCCTGACGGGCTCCACCATGTCCTTGTGTCTCCTAGGCCCCAACGCCGGCACCAAGGAGGCCCCCAGGCTCAAGGACAAGAAGAACGCCCTGGCCAACATGGGGTTTAATAACGAGCTGGCACGAACTAGGCACAGGTTCAGCTTTGATGGGGGAGACTACTCCATATTTCAGAGCCACAGTTACCCCCGCAGAGCGCGGACGAGGCGGCACAAGTCCACCGACCAGCTCAACATGGAGTCCTCGCCGCTGGCCAACCGGAGAGTCACTTTCAGCAGCACTGAATGGATGCTGGAGAGCACAGTGTAAGAGATGCAGCCTGGCCTCTTTGGCTCTGTCACACACACACACACACACACACACCAACAGTTTGACGCATACACATCTAACAAATAAAGTTACATGCATACACACACAGACTAGACTCTCAGAGAGATTTGCTGGAGAAGAACATAGTATCCTTTTATCCTGCCTCCCCTCATACTCCCATAGAGACAGAGAGTTGTCGGCCATTTCGTTATTTTATGCAGCAGTGCCTTATTCTAAAATATGTACGAATGGAGGATGCTGCTCACTAGTCATAAACCTTACTTTCTATCATGGTTTCCCCGTTTCGTAGGGAGTGATGCTTTGAGTATTTTTTTTTCTATGACACACCAAGGGGTGGGGCAAATGTGACTGTTTTCCATTTAATGTTTTAAAAAAAAACATCACACTGTAAAGTGAACAACCAGGTATCCTGTATGTTGATCATCCTTTGGGTTCTTTCAAGGACTTTTGCACACGAAGACACGACGATACGAGGACAAGTATCACACCAGTCTATGAAAAAATAAAAAGATTACAGAACTATACACATGCCGATTAGCATAGAGAGGATGGACCTGATAAACCTGTGGACAACCATGCTGGTTGGTCTCTGATATTACTAGGTATTGTTCCTGATGTGACTGTATTATATTAATCGGTATTGTATCTGGCTGGTCTAGATAAAAAGATAACTAAAAATACATATAGAAGTATATTAAAAACATTGGTGTATGTGTACTAACTATGTAAGTAAGTCATAAGTCACGACTTTTTACTGAGCATTTGAGTGTTGGCCACAAGTTTTTACATTAAAAACCTGTGTCATCACACTTCCCCCTATTTAGTATGACAAGGTTTGGACCACTTATCCCTTATGAGAGGGTATTAAATTTTGTGTGGGTTAAATGTACCGGTTGTGCACTGTCCTTTTCTTATGGTCATCCTGGATCCTTTCATCAATGTCCTGAAAGCTGCTTGCACATGGATCAGTGAGAAGGCATATCTTATCATATAATAAATATATATTAAGATATATCGTGTGCCTGTTGAGACAAACATATGTGGGAGACTTCAATGGTCTCAAAGGAAGCTGTTGTTAAAGTATACAAACTTCAGGTCTGAAAAAATATTGTTTTGTCACGAATACATTTTTCATTCTGATGTTTTAGTCAAAAGAAGCCATGACTAATTCAATCCTCAGGGTGTACTACACTGATTAAGCCACCAGGTGGCGACAACAGACCATAGATAACAGGATAGTAGACCCTGTAGGCCTCCTATCCCTTTCACCAAATAATTAACCTTGTACAGCGTGATGAGAAAGGAATGAAATTGAAAAGATACCTTCTAGCAGTGGCCTGCTCTCTACGTTAGAATGAAACTCAAACCTGTTTTAGACAAGAGCACCTTTTTCAGCAGGTCTCTTATTAAAAGTTTATGTAGAAATTCCATTTTCTTACACATTGCTTCTACAGTGAGTACTGTAGACCTGAACACTAGAGGGAAACCGTACGTAATTAATACAATGTTCTATTGTAAATGGTACCCAGGATATATTCAACCAAAGGGGCATTTGGAAGCAATATTTCATGTAGAATTGGATGCATGAAGAGTAAAATTAATGTTCATGGAATAGAAAGGCTATAGGCCTACTGAGAAGAATAGTGAATGATAGTCATGTAGATATCCTGTATTCAAAACGAGACATGAGATTCATGTGATATGTCCATGTCTAAACGTGTGGTGTGATAACCAGAGTACATTTTTATTTTTCAACAATATGCTTTTTTTTTTTTCCAATGTTGTCCCACCTGACATTCCATTAAATCCTGACTACCATAAATTACAAAAGTTTAAAAAATAAATACTGAATAAAAAAGCAGAAGAGATTGTCATAATTGGTTGAGAAATATGCATAAAATGAACATTTTCCATAATATAACAGCTAAAGTAAAGCCTGGACACTAACTATGAGACAAGGCTCTACAGTCAGTTTGTCATGAGGTGGAATTAGATGGCTTTCCTTGAGTCCATATTTGTGCAGTGTCAGCTCACTATCTGAGCACTGCAGCTGGAGCAGCACCAGTAACAGAAGAAGAGGTGAGGTATTGCTGTGAAGAATGCCCAAGGGGAGGAGAACACAGGTTTGTGCTCAGCAGTACACAGAAAGAAAAGTACAACATGAGTATTGCAGATGAAAGGTGTAAAGGGAAGAGCGATATGCTTTCCCCTGCCAGTAGGTCTGTTCAAAAGTTGTATTTGTACTTTAGCCAATTCCTCCGTTTTCTTGTCGTTGGATAAATCACAAACATGTCTAGCAACTAGTTATGGTGATGACCGTGTTCACAAGAAATCTAGTGGGAAACATTGGACTCTAAAGTGGAAGTGGGGTGTAACTGTGAAAGCTTTGAGATAGGCAACTGAAAGGGGGCAGTATGAGGGTACAGGTTACTGGCTGCCAATGGAAAAAGGTTCAATCCTCAGAACTGTCCTCCAATTTGTCCTCTCCTGCTTTCCAGTTTTTCCTCCTCTTCTTGTGTGACTCTGGTCCTGAGTCTCTGTGGGAGTCCCTCTGTCGTTTCTTCCTTCTGCCTCTCTCCTCATCATTGTCCTCTGAGCTGCTCTCCTCCTCTCTCTCACTCTTTTTCCTCTTATGTTTGCTCTTGCTGCTTTTCCTCTTCTGTTTGACACTCTTGCTGCTGGACTCACCATCTGACTCACCTGTCCTCCTTCGCTTTTCCTCTTTTTTCTTCTTCTTCTTCTTGGAGGATTTCTTCAGATGTTTTGATTTGGCTGTTTTAAGTCTGGACTTAGTATTTTTCTTTCTGCAATGCACATTCTGATCATCACCACGGTCTCTTTCCCTGAAAAGACAAATCAGGCATTATAACAATGCAACATTTCTTGTATTGAAGCAAATAGTGAGATCCTTACTACAGCTACTACTGTTATGAGACATGGTATTTCATGTTAATGCAGTTAATGTCTTACCAGTCACTTTTAAACTCCTCTGGGTATAGCTCCTTAAAACCGCTGTGTCCCCATCTGTAGAGGAAACATGCACAGTACCAATGAGATCCACCTTTCACAGCGAGGCTATATTCCTACAGAGTTGTAGATAGAATAGGTATGCACCTGTCTGGATCATTGGCCTCGAAGTCATAGAGTTTCTTGGTCCAGTAGCGTGCCTCCCTCTCGTCCTGGCCGAAGCTGTGTTCTCTTCTCCGCAGCCCGTCTCCCAGTCTATCTACAGACCCATCCTCCACACGATCACAGTGCATGTGACTCCTGAGGAATAGACAACTAATTCTGATGACAATAGCCTATATCCACAGGAAAGTATTATTAAACCAACTTTTCAAAGCGATAGCAGTGTGTTCAGATTTCTATCACCTGAAGCATATGCATACTAGCCGAGCCTGTGCACGTGTTTACATGGTTTTACATTCTCCAAATAAGTCTGACGGTACATTTACATTACATTTAAGTCATTTAGCAGACGCTCTTATCCAGAGCGACTTACAGTTAGTGCATACATTATTTTTATTTTAAAAAAAAAAAAATTATACCCCCCGTGGGAATCGAACCCACAACCCTGGCGTTGCAAACGCCATGCTCTACAAACTGAGCTACATCCCTTGCCAACCATTCCCTCCCCTACCCTAGACGACGCTGGGCCAATTGTGCGCTGCCCCATGGGTCTCCCGGTCGCGGCCGGCTACGACAGAGCCTGGATTCGAACCAGGATCTCTAGTGGCACAGCTAGGACTGCGATGCAGTGCCTTAGACCACTGCGCCACTCGGACGGTACATAGCGTTAGTGTTAGCTAGCCATCACTGGCTGATGTATCAGTCTACCTAAGGCTACACTACTTCAATCCTGGAACAGTTAGGTGACCTGGATGAATTTGAGGCTGGTGGCATCGGTCTGTGGCTGGTGGACGGACCCTTCTCCATCCCCCTCAACTTCCACATCTCTGACTCCTCCTGGATCTGAAATGGACAACATCTATCATCAGGAGAGTACACAGGAGAGTGCAAAGCCACACACACACAGATGAGCTAACTCTCCCACACCTTGTTGTGGGCATCTGTGTGACGAATAACATTTCGCAGCAACACCTTGCCCATCGGCACCCTGGACATGATGATACCTGCAAGTAGAGAAAAAGTATAAGGTACTGTACACACAACACTGTGAATTACATTGGCAGCAATATAGTGGGGCTGGGATAACACAGCAAACAGGTCAGGACAGGTGCATTGGAGAAGTGATGGTAGCTAGTTAGCTAGGTACTTTTAGCAACGCGGATATATTTGCATACACCAGCGTTGCTTTCAATTGTATTGGGTTGCACAAAAACAGTCAGTGGCAAGCCAGCTAGCTAGCTAACCGTGTTGCTAACCAGCTGTCTACAACTGTAAGTGTGTATTTTGCGTACTTCCTACTATCACAACCTAGCTACAACTGGCTAGCGTTAACTAACAGGTAGTTTTATCAACAAGAATTTGCTAGATAAGAACTCTGAACGATAAGAAATAAAATCAAGATATTAATTTCATATCGTTCATTCCAAACTTGATTAAATATTTATTAATCAGAATTACCGTTTGATCTTTAACATTTACGATTAAAAACATACAACCAGTTGACTTCCCTGTCCGTGGCGTGTAGCGGAAGAAGCACATGCGTAATATCCTGCTGGATAATCCCGGCCATGTGGGTCTTGTTACGTCACAGGACAATTGGGACGCTGATTGGCCATGTGTCTGTCAATCATTAGTATCCAAGTAAAAAAATTGGTGGAGGGGCCAAAGATGTGGTTGGATGTGGTGATTGAGAAATTGCACAAATTCACTCTCTGTGAGCCAGTTGTTCTTACTTGGTAATTCTAGTCAAATGTCTCTAAAAGGACAAGCTACATGGCATCTCACTAGCCACTATCCACTGTATTCATCAGACCTAGGTCTTTAGGGCAGATATAAAATGCAATGATTATCTGTAGTAGGTTATGTAGCCTATTATGATTGACTGTATTTCTAACAATAAGCTATTTCCTAATGAGCACAGATGGTTTGACACACAACGACACAGAAGGCCCATCAATAACTTTTCAGTGTAGGCTCTAAGCAGCATTGAGAGAATTACCTCAGTCTTTTGCATTTTGAGCTGTTGTACTACTGTTGTGTATAGAAACGTGATACACTTTCATACTGTTATGGACACAATATAAAACAGATAGCAATGAGCTGTGTTTGAGAAACTGTTTATTGTTAACTGATGCTTAGGGTGGTAGCAAGGTATGGGTTTTATAACAACAACAGCCAGTTTTGTCAAAGGATGCGCCTCTTACCCCTCAGGAGGGTAAACATTTTTTGCATGGGCCCTCATATCCTCAAAAAGGTCTGCACCATTGAGAGCATCTTGACTGGCTGCATCACCGCTTGGTACGGCAACTGTAAGGCACCCGACCGCAAGCCCTACAGACTGTGGTTAATACGGCCCAGTACATCAATGGGGCCGAGCTCCCTGCCATCCAGGACGGTGTCAGAGGAAGATCCAAAAAAGTTTCAAAGGGTCCAGCCACCCAAGCCATAGACTGTTCTCTCTGCTATCGCATGGCAAGCGGTACCAGTGAACAAAGTCTGGAACCAACAGGACCCTGAACAGCTTCTACCCCCAAGCCATAAGACTGCTAAACAAGACTGCTAAATAGCTAATCAAATGGCTACCCAGACTACCTGCATTGACCCTTTTTTGCACTAACTCTCTTGTACTGACTCTATGCACACACACTGAACTCTACCCACACACTCACACATACTTACACTGACACCCCAACACACACATACACACACACACACAAACACACACACACACACACACACTGCATATGCCCAGACACACATAACATGCGCACCTTATGCCTACTGACACCACAAACACACTCACACACACACAAACACACTCACACACACACACACTCACACACTTTAACACACCACATACCCTTCTGCTACTCTATTGTCTATCCTGTTGCCTAGTAACTTTATCCCTATATATACACTACAGGTCAAAAGTTTTAGAACACCTACTCATTCATTTGTAATATTTTCTACATTGTAGAATAATAGTGAAGACATCAAAACTATGAAATAACACATATGGAATCATGTAGTAACCCAAAAAGTGTTAAACAAATCAAAATGTATTTTATATTTGAGATTCTTCAAATAGCCACCCTTTGCCTTGATGACAACATTGTACACTCTTGGCATTCTCTCAACCAGCTGCACCTGGAATGCTTTTCCAACAGTCTTGAAGGAGTTCCCACATATGCTGAGCACTTGTTGGCTGCTTTTCCTTCACTCTGCCGTCTGACTCATCCCAAACCATCTCAATTTGGTTGAGGTCGGGAGATTGTGGAGGCCAGGTCATCTGATGCAGCACTCCATCACTCGCCTTCTTGGTAAAATAGCCCTTAGACAGCCTGGAGGTGTGTTGGATCATTGTCCTGTTGAAAAACAAATGATAGTCCCACTAAGCCCAAACCAGATGGGATGGCATATCTCTGCAGAATGCTGTGGTAGCCATGCTGGTTAAGTGTGCCTTGACTTCTAAATAAATCACAGACAGTGTCACCAGCAAGGCACCCCCACACCATTACACCTCCTCCTCCATGCTTTACGGTGGGAAATACACATGCAGAGATCATCCGGTCACCCACACCGCGTCTCACAAAGACACGGCGGTTGGAACCAAAAATCTAAAATTTGGACTCCAGGCCAAAGGACACATTTCCACCAGTCTAATGTCCATTGCTCGTGTTTCTTGGCCCAAGCAAGTCTCTTCTTCTTATTGGTGTCCTTTAGTAGTGGTTTCTTTGCAGCAATTCGACCATGAAGGCCTGATTCACACAGTCTCCTCTGAACAGTTGATGTTGAGATGTGTGTGTGACTTGAACTCTGTGAAGCATTTATTTGGGCTGCAATTTCTGAGGCTGGTAACTCTAATGAACTTATCCTCTGCAGCAGAGGTAACTCTGGGTCTTCCATTCCTGTGGCGGTCCTCATGAGAGCCAGTTTCATCATAGTGCTTGATGGTTTTTGCGACTGCACTTGAAGAAACTTTCAAAGTTCTTGAAATGTTCCGTATTGACTGACCTTCATGTCTTAAAGTAATGATGGACTGTCGTTTCTCTTTGCTTATTTGAGCTGGTCTTTCCATAATATGGACTTGGTCTTTTACCAAATAGGGCTATCTTCTGTATACCCTCCCCCCTACCTTGTCACAACACAACTGTTTGGCTCAAACGCATTAAGAAGGAAAGAAATTCCACAAATTAACTTTTAAGAAGGCACACCTGTTAATTGAAATGCATTCCAGGTGACTACCTCATGAAGCTGGTTGAGATCATGAAGCTGGTTGAGAGAATGCCAAGAGTGTGCAAAGCTGTCATCAAGGCAAAGGGTGGCTATTTGAAGAATCTCAAATATAAAATATATTTTGATTTGTTTAACACTTTTTTGGTTACTACATGATTCCATATGTGTTATTTCATAGTTTTGATGTCTTCACTATTATTCTACAATGTAGAAAATAGTAAAAATAAAGAAAAACCCTTGAATGAGTAGGTGTTCTAAAACTTTTGACCAGTAGTGTATGTACATAGCTACCTCAATGACCTCCTACCTCTGCACATCGACTTGGTACTGGTACTCCCTGTATCTAGCCATGTTATTACCTCCTACCCCTGCACATCGACTTGGTACTGGTACTCCCTGTATATAGCCATGTTATTACCTCCTACCCCTGCACATCGACTTGGTACTGGTACTCCCTGTATATAGCCATGTTATTACCTCCTACCCCTGCACATCGACTCGGTACTGGTACTCCCTATATATAGCCATGTTATTACCTCCTACCCCTGCACATCGACTTGGTACTGGTACTCCCTGTATATAGCCATGTTATTACCTCCTACCCCTGCACATCGACTTGGTACTGGTACTCCCTGTATCTAGCCATGTTATTACCTCCTACCTCTGCACATCGACTTGGTACTGGTACTCCCTGTATATAGCCATGTTATTACCTCCTACCCCTGCACATCGACTTGGTACTGGTACTCCCTGTATCTAGCCATGTTATTACCTCCTACCCCTGCACATCGACTTGGTACTGGTACTCCCTGTATATAGCCATGTTATTTTTGACTCTTTATTCTTATTCATTATTCACTGTGTATTTATTCCTCGTGTCAATATGTACATATTTTATTTATTTACTTTTCTTTATCTTTAACTCTGCATTGTTGGAAAAGGACCCGTGAGCATTTCACTGTTAGTATACACCTGTTGTTTACAAAGCATGTAGCAAATATGATACTTAGTGTTAGTTACAAGAACAACTCAATCCCTTCCCGCTGTACTCTGCCTGCTGCTGCTAGGGCCCAAAAGAGTAAATACGTATCATTAGCATTCCATGTCGCACAAAGCCTTTTGTCTTCATTGCCTCCCTTATTGAAACCAAGATGATCCCAGTTTCCCACAATTTTGGTCAGACTGATAATACTGTGCTGTGCAAGTGGCCTATCTGTCGCCAATCAAAAAATCAAAACATTAAAAAAAATGTATTTAAACTCAGGTTGTGAGTATTTGATCTAATAGAAAACGTATGTTTATTTATGCAAATCATAGAGTTGATGTGACATACTCTCATTATAGTTTTAAAATACTATTATTATCCATGCTTAAGCATTTATTGGCCCAGTGTCCTCGATCTGGTTGTTCAAGTTATTCACTCTGAGATAATATATCATTACTCACACATGCTTGAACTTCTTTGACATGGCTCCATGCAAACCTGCGATTTTGTGTCAGCCAGAAATGGCTCAGTTGGAAACCACATACCACACAGTGTTAGCCTAGAATATACTGTAGTTTAGCAGACTAATGTAAAGGAGATATGCCCAATTTCAGCTACAGTAGCAGCACATACAGACCCCCTCCTCCTCTAGTGAAAGGGGAAGACTGTGGGAGTGGGAGTTAAGAAAGAGAGAGTGGGAGGGGGAGGGTAAACACTCAGACAGGGCTATGTCTGACAGCCCTGCTGCTCACTGAAAGAACAACGGACAGAGAAAAAAGCCTGAGCACGAGAAAGACTGTGAGGAGTGAGGAAGGAAGATATATGGTGAGGGAGAGAGAAAGCAAGAGAGAAAATATATGGAGGAGTAGAGCTGCAGGAATTCTCCTCTAGAAGGAACACAAACATTGTGTTTGTGAATGGGAGCTGGTGAGCTCAGCTACAGGGGGAGTGTGTTGTGAAAAACCAGGCAGAATTCAGCCGCTGGTGAGCCTGAACACCAATCCTCTCTCTTCTGCCACGGGCTGGGAGGGATTGAGCCTGGATTTCCATTGGGTTCTTCCAGGGAGTGATTTAGAGAAGTGTCCAGGGCTGTTGGTTAGGATTTGTAGCTTTATGTAGGGAAAATGCTGGAGAGGATTTGAACACGCTGTTAACTGTTATTGCAGATTAAACACAGTAGTGTGTGCGACGTGGAGGCTCAGTCTGCTGGTTTATTGTTGGCAGTGCTGCTCCCACTCCTGCTGCTGGGGTTGTTTTGGGGCTATGTTTCTGACTGAGTCGGGCAGCATCATCCACATGCAGGGTAGAGGCTGAATGGGAGGTTAAGAGTGCAACTAACCAGCATGGGAGCCAAACAGATGAAATGGTAAGAGTTGGATTTCACAAATGATTTGCAATATCTCTTGATTTACATAACACTGTTTCTCTCCCTCTCATGTTACAATCAGCGGTTCTAATATAGAAATGCAGTGTTTGTTAATTGTCTTTACGTTTGCCTTGACAGTAATGTGCTACTTTTACAGTTATGGGAGTGGTTATGAGACCTTGAGACAGTGCGAGCACTATGTCATTTAGAAGAAGATGTAATTTCTTTGTCTGATCAATATTATTTTATGGTCATATAATATAGATTTCTATTACACGTGTTAGAGAAACTAATCATAGTGTGATAGCTTGTAGAAATTGAGTAGTTCACATAATTTTAGGGCTGTCGGCTTTTGTCTGAATGTAGGTGTGGGTGCGTGCTTCTCTGGTATGGATACTGTGCGTCCCTGTAGGTGTTTGTCTGGAAATCTATGTGAGCTGGATGCGTGACATTGCCTAGCAACGGCTAACTACAGTGTTTGGCATTGCTGTGATTTCCTTTGCAGATCGGCTCATAGCTCAGATTTACTTTGATCAGACTGATTAGCGTCACACTGTATATGAGCATGTCCAATCTCACATGGTGTTTTAGTGTTATACAGTATTTAGTTCCAGAGATTAGGATAATTTCTGTTTAATATTTGCCCACCATAGTGGAGGTTTTATTTCTAACCCAAAATAAATTGACAGTAAATACACAAATTACACTATACTGTAAAACTAGGCCACATGTCTTGAATGTGTACAAATTACACAAAACTGTAAAACTAGGCCACAGGTCTTGAATGTGTGCATGTGATCCTCTTTCAGATATAAAATTGAAAAGATAAAGCAATGCACATCGAAGACAGATTTAAATTAAAAACATATTATTATTTCAAGAGGACTTACTATATTTTATATGAAGGGATTACAAAAGACATGCAAAGACCAGATATGCTGAAGTGAAGCTCATCTCTACTGTATGTTGTTGTTTCAGTTTGCACAACAGATCAGCAGGATGCATCTTTTAAGGGAAATCCACAGAAATTACAACATGTAGCTATAACAAACTACACCCAGGGCAAAGGAAGGGTGGTGCCACGATAAGAGAGACTTATACAGAACGTTGGTTGGCATGTACTTCATACGTCTTTGCCTGTAGTTCTTATTACAATATAATTTGAAATGAGAGTACTTAGGAATAATCACTTCAGTAGAATCAGATAAGATGGCAACCAGACCACTGTGACCTACTGTCCCTGTTTCTCAGCAGCTGAGTAGAATACATCAAAGTAGGCCCCTTATGACAGAAAAGGTCCCAAACTTCCTGAATATGATAACCAAATGGTAGAGTGCATTCAGAAAGTATTCAGACCCCTTCACTTTTCCACATTTTGTTACGTTACAACCTTATTCTAAAACTGATTAAATAAAAATGTTCCTCATCAATCTACACACAATATCCCATAATGAGCGAGAGTGTGCAAAGCTGTCATCAAGGCAAAGTGTGGCTATTTGAAGAATCTCAAATATAAAATATATTTTGATTTGTTTAACACTTTTTGGGCTACTACATGATTCCATATGTGTTATTTCATAGTTTTGATGTCTTCACTATTATTCTACAATGTAGAAAATAGTAAAAATAAAGAAAAACCCTTAAATGAGTAGGTGTGTCCAAACTTTCAACTGGTAGTGTAAGTATTCAGACCCTTTGCTATGAGACTCAAAATTGAGCTCAGGTGGTCAATTTCTTGTTTCCATTGATGATCCTTGAGATGTTCCTACAACTTGATTGGAGTCCACCTGTGGTAAATTCAATTGATTGGACATGATTTGGAAAAGCACACACCTGTCTATATAAGGTCCCACAGTTGACAGTGCATGTCAGGGCAAAAACCAAGCCATGAGGTCGAAGGAATTGTCCATAGAGCTCCGAGACAGGATTATGTCGAGGCACAGATCTGGGGAAGGGTACCAAAACATTTCTGCCGCATTGAAGGTCCCGAAGAACACAGTGGCCTCCAGAAGTTTGGAACCACCAAGACTCTTCCTAGAGCTGGCCGCCCAGGCAAACTGAGCAATCGGTGGAGAAGGGCCTTGGTCAGGGAGGTGACCAAGAACCCGATGGTCACTCTGACAGAGCTCCAGAGTTCCTCTGTGGAGATGGGAGAACCTTCCAGAAGGACAACCATCTCTGCAGCACTCCACTAATCATGCCTTTATGGTGTGGCCAGACGGAAGTCACTCCTCAGTAAAAGGCACATGACAGCCCGCTTGAAGTTTGCCAAAAGGCACCTAAAGACTCTCAGACCATGAGAAACAAGATTCTCTGGTCTGATGAAACCCAGATTGAACTCTTTGGCCTGAATGCCAAGTGTCACGTCTGGAGGAAACCAGGCACCGCTCATCACGTGGCCAATACCTTCCCTACAGTGAAGCATGGGGGTGGTAGCATCATTCTGTGGGGATGTTTGTCAGCGGCAGGGACTGGGAGACTAGTCAGGATAGAGGGAAAGATGAACGGAGAAAAGTACAGAGAGATCCTTGATGAAAACCTGCTCCAGAGCGCTCAGGACGTCAGACTGGGGCAAAGGTTCACCTTCCAACAGGACAACTACCCTAAGCACACAGCCAAGACAACGCAGGAGTGGCTTTGGGATAAGCCTCAGCATTACACTTTTACCATGGAATTGCCTTGAAGTAAAAACTATGTGTAGTAGGGATTCTTTCCATATAGCAACCCCAAGTCAATGTAATTAAATGGTATTACAAAAGGGACAGATCAAGCCAGGGCAGTTATACTGTTGCAGTCCTCATATTCAGTCATGCAATGACAAAAAAAAATTCAAGACAGATGCCATCCTAACACTACATTAAACCAGACATAAATCTCACACACAGGCTGTAATGTGAGTCTAATAGCTCATGTCAACATTACTCTTCACACAAGTAACATATGGTTACATAAATGCAAGCCATCATCATCCACCCATCTTGCATGTTCCTTAAGAAAGATTTGAACATAGTCTCTCTCCCCTTTTCAACATGGGTTGGTTTAACCAAGGGTCTTAGGTTGAATAGTGGCAGAGATGGGCAAAAATGTCAAAATACAATTACAAAATACCCTAAAGACCAATGTATCAAAATAAAATACATAATACTTTTGCAAAGCATGGATTTAAAATACAAGTACTGTATCTTGTATTTTCAAAATACAAAATACATTTGCAAGTACCCCCTTATCCGCAACAACATTTTCAGTAACGGTAACAAAAGCTATTTACTTGCTATCACTGTGATAATGGGGTTGTTTACCTGTTTCTACTTTAGTTTAATGCACTGACTGTAAGTTGCTATGGATGCTAAATGACCAAAATGCTAATGTAAATGTGAAAATTAACACTTGCAAAGCATGCTAAGTATTATTATTATTCACCCCCGGACGAGACCATATTTGAATAAAAATGTGAATGGCTGTAGAGATGGGCAAAGATACATCAAAATGTATCTTGTTATAAAATACCCCAAAGAATGAATGAAAATAAAATACGAAATACAGAAAAGTCTATCAAAATGCAAAAAATACATTTCAAGTAGGCAAAAAAACACAAAATAAATCATAGACAGACTATTTCAGTCAAATGTCCTGTGCAGTTGTAAATCAAACAAATGTGTGAACACCCAAAAAAATATCAATTTCAACTTACTTTATAAGTATTTTGTACTTTGAAAACACAAAATACTGCTCTCTAAAGTATCTTGTTATAAAATACATTGGACTGTAGTTCAGGCCAGTGAAATACAAATGACAAAATATGCAAAAGTAATTGAAATACATATTTCAAATACATTCAACAGAAATACTGCCCTGAATAGTGGTGTAGTTTACCCTTGTCTGGCATAAGACTTAATCACACGGACAGAAGCATGGTTGTTTTCCCACAGATACTAAGAAACGGATCATGGAATCCCCCATCTGAGAGCCATATCTAATGCCTGGGGTCATAGTGCACGTGGCTGGATTCCATTTCTAAAAAACACACAAGAGGCAACATGACAAGAGGCCCAGACCTCAGGGCGCTGGGAATGTACTTAGAACAGACAAAGATCATCATAACATACAGACTCAGTACATAACAGACTCAGTACATAACAGACTCAGTTCATAACAGACTCAGCACATAACAGACCCAGTACATAACATACCCAGTACATAACCGACCCAGTACATAACAGACTCAGTACATAACATACCCAGTATATAACAGACCCAGTACATAACAGACTCGGTACATAACATACTCAGCACATAACAGACTCAGTACATAACAGACCCAGTACATAACAGACTCAGTACATGCTGAAAGAGAAAATCGTCCTCTCAGAGACATTGAAATCATTGTTCGTTTTGAACTGATGTCTCCCTAGGAAAAAACAATCCTAAAAATGTGTTGATACTAAAAAACTAAAACAGCATGTTTGTAAATCCCGCCCCATCTGACTTTTTGAAATAGTTTGACTCAATGTGTCCCATTTGTCTGCAGTTGCCTGTAAAGTGTATTTTAATTTAAGTAAAACTTTATAATTTCGACAGTCACTTATGTTTGTGTCTATTCATTTCAATTAATTAAGGAATGAATGAACAAACAAACATCCCCCTCCATATTTATCTGGACAGTGAAGCTAAAACTTTTAATTTGGCTCTATATTCCAGCATTTTGGATTTGAGATCAAATGTTTTATATGAGGCCACTGTACAGAATGTCGCCTCTTATTTGAATGTATTTTCATACATACTGTCAGTCGCATATGAAACATTTGATCTCAAATCCAAAATGCTGGAGTATAGAGCCAAATGTAAAGTTTTAGCTTCACTGTCCAAATAAATACGGAGGGAGTGTATGTTCACAGTGTGTCATTCAGTTGAAATATTGCTCAGTCCAGATGCCATTTATGTACAGTATATGTAATTTCAAGAAGAAGAATGTCTTCCTTTCATATTTATTTACTGTTTCTTTTTATTTGGCTCAGCAGCAAACAAACTCATTCCTTATTCCTGTCTTTTCCCACCATCTGTTGCAGCCTCAGTTCAGCCAGCCCTGCACACTCCCCTAAAGATGAGTACATCATCGCTCAGTCCACAGACACTCCTAAAGAAGCATTTATCTCAGCTCAATCTGAAGACCATGCCGAGCCTGGGGATGACAAATCAGAGTTGACGGAAAGGAAATCTGATACAGGTTGACTACACATCAATTTTCTCGTGCTGAGATCTGTTTCCATTTGATTTATCTGCTACAAAAAGGACATTTTCTCATGCCCGGTCTGTTTCTGTCTGTCTGTCCATCCGTCTCTCTATTTGTCCATCCATCCCTCTGTTTGTCTGTCCTTCTGTCTATCTCTCCGTCCATGTGTCTGTGCCCTCCAGAAGAGGTGTTGTCTCTCTGCGGCCTGTGTCCTGCCCCAGGGCATGGTGGGCCAGAGGAGGAGAGATCATGGGAGGAGCAGCTGGAGTGTCACCAGGAGCAGCTGGAAAAGGAGATGCAGGAGGCCAGGAGGATGGTGTTCCGCCTGCAGGTAACTAACGACAAACACACACACGCACTCACACATGCATGCTTCCGCACACACACACACCCCCCCACACCACCCCCCCCCCCCCCCCCCCCCCCCCCCACACACACACACACACACACACACACACACACACACACACACACCAAAACAATTTAGTCAACTGAAATAAAATAATTATCAAACCCGTTTGAAAAACAAAAACTATACTGAAACTATTATCTAAGACTCCAAAACGAACTTTGTGGGGCAAAAATCCAATGGGTTTTCAAGCTTCTGAATCTGGCAGGTCACGTTGAGATTGACTTCATCATTTAAAGCTACTCAGAGAGATGACGTTGCCACGAGCAGCACAGCAGATATTGTGCGCGTTTGAGTGGTAAGGCTAAAGCGACCGACTGCAGACGAAAGTCGAGGAGTGAAGTCGGGGGAGGTGCATCTGCGACAGCCTTAAGTCGGACACTAATGTGGTTTTCCAACAGCAACCCACTGGGCACAGACGTCAATTCAACCTCTATTCCACGTTGGTTCAACGTAATTTCATTGAAATTATGTGGATGCAATGTTGATTCAACCAGTGTGTGCCCAGTGCAAAGGCTCAGATCAACATTGCTGTGTTGGCATTCTTTATAAAAGGTTTTCTTTATAATGTTGAAATAAACATGTTTCTAACCCCCATATTACACACTCACAAACTGAAATCATAATACAATATTATGTGTGTAAACATTGTACAATGAATTAGTGAGAGAGAGCCTCCAATATCATATTTAGTTGTATATATCTACTGTACACATAAGTCACGGTAAATGGGTTTCTGTTTCATTCAAATCTTTGGTCACGTTCGCGTGGGTCAAACAAAAACACCCTAATGATTGGTTGACAATAGAGCCTCCCACAATGCAGGTGATGGCTACAGGATAAAGTTGGTGAAGAGCAACACAGAAACTTGCCGTTGACTGCAGTCAAAACTTCATGGTCTTTGATCACGTGATTTTTGTAAACTTCATGCAGTCGACAATTTTATCCCCAGAATGCAACACACTTTGAAAGGCGATGACACAACCAAATTGATCCGCGCAAACGTGCCAAGTGAGATGAGCAGATGCAAGACTTTGCTCTCACACAGTCACACAGAATATCTGCACATGTGCATGGGTGCGCTTCACACCGCTACAACGTGGTAGCGACGGGACCAAAACAGAGGAGAATTTAGCCTTGCACTTCAGAGCTCCTGATTGTTGCGGAAATGTATCCACTACTACTGTTTACTTCGTGCATCTACGTCATGTCGCTGTGTCTACCTTTAAACATAAAGTAACCTATAACCTTACCCATCACTTTATGCATTACTGCCCCAAAGTGGCTAGAAGTGACATCCCAAAAAAAAAAAACACTATACAACACATAAATCAATCAAATGTTATTTATAAAGCCCTTTTTACATCAGCAGATGTCACAAAATGCTATACAGAAACCCAGCCTAAAACCCCAAACAGCAAGCAATGCAGATGTAGAAGCAATGTGGCTAGGAAAAACTCCCTAGAAAGGCAGAAACCTAGGAAGAAACCTAGAGAGGAACCAGGTTCTGAGGGGTGCCCTGGCTGTGCCGGGTGGAGATTATAAGAGTACATGGCCATTAAGGCCAGATTTTTCTCTAGATGTTCAAACGTTCATAGATGACCAGCAGGGTCAAATAATAATCACAGTGGTTGTAGAGGTTGCAACAGGTCAGTACATTAGGAGTAAATGTCACTTGGCTTTTCATACCCGGGCATTTAGAGGTTGAAATAGCAGGTGCAGTAGAGAGAGAGAGTTGAAAACAGCAGGTCTGGGACAAGGTAGCACGTCCGGTGAACAGGTCAGGGTTCCATAGCCGCAGGCGGAAGAGTGGAAACTGGAGCAGCAGCACGACCAGGTGGACTGGGGACAGCAAGGAGTCATCAGGCCAGGTAGTCCTGAGGCATGGTCCTAGGGCTCAGGTCCTCCGGGATGGGAGGGAGAGAGGGAGAGAGAGAGAATTCGAGGGAGCATACTTAAATTCACACAGGACACCGGATAAGACAGGAGAATAACACCAGATGTAACAGACTGACCCTAGCCCCCCGGCTGTCAAGGCGTCAGGACACAGAGCTAATCAAAAGGCGTACTTTACTCGTAGGTAAAAGAACGAACAACAACCTCCACGCAGGGAGGGAACACACCCGCACACAGAGTGAGACAGAGGGTTAAATAGGGAAGACATAACTACATGATGGGAAACAGGTGATACCAATTAAGACAAAACAAGTCGAACAAAGATACATGGATCGGTAGCAGCTAGTACTCCGGTGACGACGAACGCCGAAGCCTGCCCGAGCAAGGAGGAGGGGCAGCCTCGGCTGAATCCGTGACACCGGCACATAGACTATTGCAGCATAGATACTGGAGGCTGAGACAGGGGGGTCGGGAGACACTGTGGCCCCGTCCGACGAAACCCCTTGACAGGACCAACCAGGCAGGATATAACCCCACCCACTTTGCCAAAGCACAGCCCCCACACCACCAGAGGGATATCAACAGACCACCAACCTACTACCCTGAGACAAGGCTGAGTATAGCCCACGAAGATCTCCTCCACTGCACGAGCCTGAGGGAGCGACAAACCGGAGAGGAAGATCACGTCAGTGACTCAACCCACTGCGTGAGAGGCTCCTAGAGTGGCCTTTTATTGTCCCCAGCACAAGGTGCAGCTGTGTAATGCTCATGCTGTTTAATCAGCTTCTTGATATTCCACACCTGTCAGGTGGATGGATTATCTTGGCAAAGGAGAAATGCTCACTGACAGGGATGTAAACAACGTTGTGCACAACATTTGAGAGAAATAAGCTTTTTGTGAGTATGGAACATTTCTGGGATCTTTTATTTCAGTTCATGAAACATGGGACCAATACTTTACATGTTGCGTTTATATTTGTGTTCAGAGTAGCTTTATGTGAACATGTTTAGTATGTCTAAGATGTATCCCTCCAAGGCTCCAGCTAAGGTAAGTATACAATGAGATTGTGATCATCCAAGATTTATCTGGTATCAAGGAGCTAAGTGCTCTTAATCTAGCACGATCTAATCTATCATGTCAGGTATAAAAATCACCCCCCACCTCTACCCTGCCCTGCCCAACTGAGCTTGATCACATAAAATTGTCCTGCACATGTGCAAGCCAAGCATTTGCTCTATTTTCACTGTCCAGTTCAGGTTGGCAGCTGTGTGGTTTAGGTGAGGTTGTACATCCATATTTGTGTGTGTGTGTGTGCGTGTGCGTGTCTTATGGCTGTCTTTCTCTCTGATGTGTGTTTATACTGTGACATATATTCTGGGTGTATAGCCTTTATGTTCTGTGTACAGTATGTGTCTATCCCACTCTTCTCTCTCCAGGCTCTACTGCTGCACGGCTCTCTCCCTGAGGACGAGCAGGACATCTCCGTGGGCTTCGGGGATAGCAGAGCTAACTCTGAGCAGCAGCTGGTACTACATTCACTTTAGATAATACAGCATGTTCAGCCACCCACTGTGATGTAGCGGTGTCAGACCCTGGCATGCTATAATGTTTTTACTGTCACTCTAGAGTCCAGAAAAGACGCAGATACTGTAGAAGCGTGAATGAGTCTATGTTATCTGCTTTGCCTGCTTTCATGCTAGGTCACTGTCTCTTTATAAGCTCGGACATTTCTCTATTCTCTCATACTGCCGCTCATCCCCTCGCTTTGAAGGTTCTAATCCGCAGTCGTCTGGACCAAAGCATGGAGGAGGCTCTTGATCTGAAGGTACAGTAGTAATTGGACTTAATGTGGATGAGCTGCCATAAGAGCACAGACCTTCCCCTCCTAATGAAATGTCTCTGAGTCTGTCTGTCTATCTGTCCACTCAGAGGGAGCTTCTGAGGCACAAGCAGGAGGCACGCCACCTTCAGGCCATTAAGGTAAGACCTGCCAGTCAAACCCTCTTAAGTATGTTTGGATCATTACTTATACATGGATTAGTGGCTTTTATTCAGTTCTCATGCCAGCTCTGGATAGAGAAGCAGCCTCTTTAGGCTCTAGTGTTCCTTTACAGAAGAGTTGTGTGCTCTGTTTTAGGCTTCATAATGATCCATATTAGTGGGTCCTTACTTTTTGGTATGCAAGCCGGCCTCTCTAGCGTTGTCTTTAATCTGCCTTTCCTCATTAGGATGCTCTTCAGCAGCGTATGTCTGTACAGGAGGCTGCGATGCTGCAGCTGAAGCAGGAGCTACTGAGGTGCAGTATGGACAAAGAGCAACTGGAGGGGGAGAACGTGAGTCAAACGAACCAATCAAATCAAATCAAAATGTATTGGTCACATGTGCCGAATACAAGAGGTGCAGACATTACAGTGAAATGCTTACTTACAGCCCTTAACCAACAGTGCATTTATTTTTAACAAAAAAAGTAAAAATAAAACAACAACAAAAAAAGTGTTGAGAAAAAAAAAGTAACAGTAGGGAGGCTATATATACAGGGGGGTACCGTTGCAGAGTCAATGTGCGGGGGCACCGGCTAGTTGAGGTAGTTGAGGTAATATGTACATGTGGGTAGAGTTAAAGTGACTATGCATAAATAATTAACAGAGTAGCAGCAGCGTAAAAAGGATGGGGTGGGGGGGCAGTGCAAATAGTCCGGGTAGCCATGATTAGCTGTTCAGGAGTCTTATGGCTTGGGGGTAGAAGCTGTTGAGAAGTCTTTTGGACCTAGACTTGGCACTCCGGTACCGCTTGCCGTGTGGTAGCAGAGAGAACAGTCTATGACTAGGGTGGCTGGAGTCTTTGACAATTTTGAGGGCCTTCCTCTGACACCGCCTGGTATAGAGGTCCTGGATGGCAGGAAGCTTGGCCCCAGTGATGTACTGGGCCGTACGCACTACCCTCTGTAGTGCCTTGCGGTCGGAGGCCAAGCAGTTGCCATACCAGGCGGTGATGCAACCAGTCAGGATGCTCTCGATGGTGCAGCTGTATAATTTTTTGAGGATCTGAGGACCCATGCCAAATCTTTTCAGTCTCCTGAGGGGGAATAGGCTTTGTCGTGCCCTCTTCACGACTGTCTTGGTGTGTTTGGACCATGATAGTTCGTTGGTGATGTGGACACAAAGGAACTTGAAGCTCTCAACCTGTTCCACTACAGCCCCGTCGATGAGAATGGGGGCGTGCTCAGTCCTCTTTTTTTTCCTGTAGTCCACAATCATCTCCTTTGTCTTGGTCACGTTGAGGGAGAGGTTGTTGTCCTGGCACCACACGGCCAGGTCTCTGACCTCCTCCCTATAGGCTGTCTCATCGTTGTCGGTGATCAGGCCTACCACTGTTGTGTCGTCGGCAAACTTAATGATGGTGTTGGAGTCGTGCCTGGCCATGCAGTCATGGGTGAACAGAGAGTACAGGAGGGGACTGAGCACGCACCCCTGAGGGGCCCCCGTGTTGAGGATCAGTGTGGCAGATGTGTTGTTACCTACCCTTACCACCTGGGGGCGGCCCGTCAGGAAGTCCAGGATCCAGTTGCAGAGGGAGGTGTTTAGTCCCAGGATCCTTAGCTTAGTGATGAGCTTAGAGGGCACTATGGTGTTGAATGCTGAGCTGTAGTCAATGAATAGCATTCTCACGTAGGTGTTCCTCTTGTCCAGGTGGGAAAGGGCAGTGTGGAGTGCAATAGAGATTGCATCATCTGTGGATCTGTTGGGGCGGTATGCAAATTGGAGTGGGTCTAGGGTTTCTGGGATAATGCTGTTGATGTGAGCCATGACCAGCCTTTCAAAGCACTTCATGGCTACAGACGTCAGTGCTACGGGTCGGTAGTCATTTAGGCAGGTTATCTTAGAGTCCTTGGGCACGGGGACTATGGTGGTCTGCTTGAAACATGTTGGTATTACAGACTCAGTCAGGGACATGTTGAAAATGTCAGTGAAGACACTTGCCAGTTGGTCAGCACATGCTCGGAGTACACGTCCTGGTAATCCGTCTGGCCCTGCGGCCTTGTGAATGTTGACCTGCTTAAAAGTCTTACTCACATCGGCTACGGAGAGCGTGATCACATAGTCATCCGGAACAGCTGGTGCTCTCATGCATGCTTCAGTGTTGCTTGCCTCGAAGCGAGCATAGAAGTGGTTTAGCTCGTCTGGTAGGCTTGTGTCACTGGGCAGCTTGCGGCTGTGCTTCCCTTTGTAGTCTGTAATAGTTTTCAAGCCCTGCCACATCCGACGAGCGTCAGAGCCAGTGTAGTATGATTCAATCTTAGTCCTGTATTGACTCTTTGCCTGTTTGATGGTTCTTCGGAGGTCATAGCGGGATTTCTTATAAGCGTCCGGGTTAGAGTCCCGTTCCTTGAAAGCGGCAGCTCTACCCTTTAGCTCAGTGCGGATGTTTCCTGTAATCCATGGCTTCTGGTTGGGGTATGTACGTACGGTCACTGTGGGGACGACATCATCAATGCACTTATTGATGAAGCCAGTGACTGATGTGGTGTACTCCTCAATGCTGTCTGAAGAATCCCGGAACATGTTCCAGTCTGTGCTAGCAAAACAGTCCTGTAGCTTAGCATCTGCGTCATCTGACCACTTTTTTATTAACCGAGTCACTGGTGCTTCCTGCTTTAGTTTTTGCTTATAAGCAGGAATCAGGAGGATAGAGTTATGGTCAGATTTGCCAAATGGAGGGCGAGGGAGAGCTTTGTATGCGTCTCTGTGTGTGGAGTAAAGGTGGTCTAGAGTTTTTTTTCCTCTGGTTGCATTTAACATGCTGGTAGAAATTAGGTAGAACGGATTTAAGTTTCCCTGCATTAAAGTCCCCGGCCACTAGGAGCGCTGCATCTGGATGAGCGTTTTCCTGTTGATTTATGGCCTTGATATGATAATACATACGTTGACATTTAGAATGAATATTTGACCTTTATATTCAATGGCTCTACCTATTTATGTATTAACATATTCACAAAATGTTTTGTTCATCCACATTACAAATATAAGTATTCATTTGTATATTTGTAGGCAGAGCTCAAACGGAAGTTGAGCGATCGGAACAAACTACTCAGTGAATATGAGGTAAGATCAGGAAATATGTGAATTTTCACAACTTTAACATTTGGATATGATTATGTAGTTGAAATGTATCACAGATATCACAGTGATATGTCTATAAAATCAGCAGCAACTTGGAAAAAAAGATAGAGTACTTCAGCAACAGCAATTGAAACTGGACGATGCTCGGCACAACTCTAATGAAGGAAGCCACAGGGTATGGTACCATAATAAAACATTTTCCACTGCACTTCAGTAAATGACATGTATTTGTTGTAGCTTGCAAAGTTGGTAAGATGTATTATGTCTGTTTTTCTTCAGTCATCTAGGAGTGAAAAGAGTGGGTACTGTAACTCTGTGGGCCCACCCTCTGGTCCGGCCTTCCAACACACAGCGGTGAGTCATGTACACCTATGTACATTTCCTACATGTGTTTACATGTTGATGCGAGGGAGTGTGTGATTGATTAAATGTGTGTTTTAGATATGTTTCATGTCATCGTTATAGCTGTCTCTAGTGCTAGAGACCTACTGGTTAAAGGCCATGGCCAAATGATCAACAACCTTCAAATTGGCCTGGCCACCAGTTCTAGTGGTTTATGTCATTGTGTGTGTGTGTGTGTGTGTGTGTGTGTGTGTGTGTGTGTGTGTGTGTGTGTGTGTTAGCAGGGGGAGGAACTGCAGCTGGTGAGGGAGGCCCTGCGTAGTCTGAGGGATGGCTTCTCAGGTCACGACCCTCAGCATCACACCCTGGACACACTGGAGCAAGGGGTGGCCAGTCTCATGGACCGCCTATACACACTCGACACACGCCGCAGGCAGCAGGACAGAGTACATACACACACACACACACACACACACACACACACACACACACACACACACACACACACACATAGCAATACACACAGAAGACCACAGAGGTGGGTGCTGTGTGTATATTGTTAGTGTTATATTTTGCTCCTGATGTGATAATCATGTGTTCATCGTGTGCACATCGTGACTGACTGAATTGGCATTTCTCCTAGTAACTGTGACTCTGTCTTCTTGTAGGGCCAGTACAAATCACCAGGACGAAGAGCCAACCCCACAGATAGGGACTCATGGCCACCCAGCTCAAGTAAGATATACTGTTTGTTTTGCCGTTCTCAACAACCTTGCTAATTCTCTTTCATGCAACTTTATCTAATTGTGTAATTAAATTACATTGAGCATATGTTAGGAGGGATCAAGCATTTTAATCAGCTAGGTTGGCTATCTGTAGAGAAAAGGGTAATATTAATCCAACTTGGTCTAGTCCACATTATTACAGACTCAGCCCCCAGGTACCTATCAAATTATTATACTTATATTAGAGATGTCCACCAATACAACACCAGAGCCAGAGACTCTGATATTGCCTGTTTTAAATGTAAGAGTCTATCTGGTAAGAACACCTTTTTATATACCGGCGCTGTTGAGTGGAACAAACTACCACAGCAACTCAAAGCCATGGTGACCATAGTTGAGGAGACTAAATTGAGGAGACTAAATTACTTGGTGTTACCTTAGATTTTAAAATGTCATGGTCAAAACATATAGATTCAATGGTTGTAAAGATGGGGAGGTTTGTCCGTAATAAAGAGATGCTCTGCTTTTTTGACACCACACTCCACAAAGCAAGTCCTGCAGGCTCTAGTTTTATCTTATCTTGATTATTGTCCAGTCATGTGGTCAAGGGCTGCAAAGAAAGACCTAGTTAAGCTGCAGCTGGTCCAGAATAGAGCGGCACGTCTTGCTCTTCACTGTAGTCAGAGGGCTAATATAAATACTATGCATAACAGTCTCTCTTGGCTAAGAGTTGAGGAAAGACTGACTGCGTCACTTCTTGTTTTAATGTGTTGGAAATTCTGGTTTCAAAAAACAAATAAAGCAACACTTCAAGGCACAACGCCTCTCCCCCATTAGAACTACTTGTTGTGTGTATGTACGGACATGTATGTATACCTGATAGATGTACACACACTACATGTTGTTTTTAAATGTATGTAAATTGTAAAGTATTTTGTCTGTAATGTCTTTTTCGTTATGTGTCGCACCCCAGTAAGACTCGCTGTCACCATTGGCGTCAGCTAATGGGGATCCTAATAAATCAAATCAAATAAATCAAAACCATAACTTAATTTAAAAATAATGATATCCCTGTCATGTTTATTTTTATGTATGTACTGTATGTATGTGTTTTTTAATTGGCAAATAAAATCAAACAATCCTGTCTTTAAGCTGTAGCCAGTAAGTGAACCTATGTTTTTATTTGTTTTCAGAAATAGCTCATTCCCACAGTAGCCCTGGCCTGGACTCCACAGTCTCCACTAAAGTGCTATACTTCACTGATCGTTCACTCACTCCTTTCCTGGTCAACATCTCCAAAAGGTACAAATCCAGAATCCCTCTTTGGGTCTTGATGATGTCCATTGCATGTGTACCTTTGTGTTGAATGCTGCCTGCAAGTTGTAGATGCAATGTATGTGTTAGTACACGTGTATATTGTTAGGGTATTGAATGCATGCATGTGTGTCATTGGTGTGTGTGTGTGTTGTGTGTCTATGTGCTGTAGCGTTGTGAGAGAATGTGCATGTCTGTGTCTCTGCACAGATCAGTGTACCGTGATGCCATCTGATAGTGAGACTGTGCTGTGCTGTTAGGCTGGGGGAGGTGACTCTGAGAGACTTCAAGGCAGCGGTGGACCGCCAGGGCAGCTTCAGGTACCACTTCAAAGCCCTCGACCCAGAGTTTGGGACTGTGAAGGAGGAGGTAGGCATGTTTTGGATTACAGCTTTGGGTTTACATTTAGATAGGGTCAAATGTTACCACTGAGGGGGAAATGACTGAATGACCAAAATGAAAATATAAAACACGGAATTGGCAATAGTACCAAAACCCAGTAACTATTTAAGATAACTATTTTAAGATCATAAAGATGTGGATTCTCTATAAAGGTTGATATGTGTTTAGAGACTCTGTCCCTGTATATGTCATACACTACATATACAAAAGTATGTGGACACCGCTTCAAATGAGTGGTTTCGGCTATTTCAGCCACAGCCGTTGCTGACGGGTGTATAAAATCGAGCACACAGCAAAGCAATCTCCATAGACAAACATTGGCATGGCCTTACTGACTTGACTTCAACGTGGCACCGTCATAGGATGCCACCTTTCGTCAAAAGTCAGTTCGTCAAATTGCTGCCCTGCTAGAGCTGCCCCGGTCAACTGTAAATGCTGTTATTGTGAAGTGGAAACGTCTTGGAGCACACAAGCTCACAGAACGGGACCGCCGAGTGCTGAAGCCCTTAGCGTGTAAAAATGGTCTGTCCTCGGTTGCAACACTCACTACCTAGCTCCAAACTGCCTCTGGAAGCAACGTCAGCACAGGAGCTGTTCGTCGGGAGCTTCATGAAATGGGTTTCCATGGCCGAGCAGCCGCACACAAGCCTAAGATCACCATGCGCAATGCCAAGCTTCGGCTGGAGTGTTGTAAAGCTCACCGCCATTGGACTCTGGAGCAGTGGAAACACATTCTCTGGAGTGATGAATCATGCTTCACCGTCTGGCAGTCCGACGGACAAATCTGGGTTTGGTGGATACCAGGAGAACACTACCTGCCCGAATGCATAGTGCCAACTGTAAAGTTTGGTGGAGGAGGAATAATGCTCTGGGGCTTATTCTAAAATGGATTAAATAAATACAAATCCTCAGAAATCTACACAGAATACCCCATAATGACAAAGCGAAAACTGGTTTTTAGAATGTTTACAAATTTATAAAAATAAAAAAACAGAAATACCTTATTTACATAAGTATTCAGACCCTTTGCTATGAGACTGGAAATTGAGCTCAGGTGCATCCTGTTTTTATTGATCATTGATCATTTCTACAACTTGATTGGAGTCCACCTGTGGTAAATTCAATTGATTGGACATGATTTGGAAAAGCTCTGACAGTGCATGTCAGAGCAAAAACCAAGCCATGAGGTCGAAGGAATTGTCCGTAGAGCTCCGAGACAGGATTGTGTCGAGGCACAGATCTGGGGAAGGGTACCATAACATTTCTGCCGCATTGAAGGTCCCGAAAAACACAGTGGCCTCCATCATTCTTAAATGGAAGAAGTTTGGAACCACCAAGACTCTTCCTAGAGCTGGCCACCCGGCCAAACTGAGCAATCGGGGGAGAAGGGCCTTTGTCAGGGAGGTGACCAAGAACCCGATGGTCACTCTGACAGAGCTCCAGAGTTCCTCTATGGAGATGGGAGAACCTTCCACAAGGACAACCATCTCTGCAGCACTCCACCAATCAGGCCTTTATGGTAGGGTGGCCAGACGGAAGCCACTCCTCAGTAAAAGGCCCGCTTGGAGTTTGCCAAAAGGTACATAAAGGACTCTCAGACCATGAAAAACAAGATTCTCTAGTCTGATGAAACCAAGATTGAATTTTTTGGCCTGAATGCCAAGCGTCACGTCTGGAGGAAACCTGGCACCATCCCTAATGTGAAGCATGGTGGTGGCAGCGTCATGTTGTGGGGACATTTTTCAGTGGCAGGGACTGGGATACTAGTCAGGATCGAGGGAAAGATGAACGGAGCAAAGTACAGAGATATCCTTAATGAAAACCTGCTCCAGAGCACCAAGGACCTCAGACTGGGGCGAAGGTTCACCTTCCAAAAGGACAACGACCCTAAGCACACAGCCAAGACAACGCAGGAGTGGCTTCGGGACAAGTCTCTGAATGTCCTTGAGTGGCCCAGCCAGAGCCCAAACTTGAACCTGATCGAACATCTCTGGAGAGACCTGAAAATAGCTGTGCAGCGACGCTCCCCATCCAACCTTACAGAGCTTGAGAGGATCTGCAGAGAAGAATGGGAGAAACTCCCCAAATATATGTGCCAAGCTTGTAGCGTCATACCCAAGAAGACTCGAGGCTGTAATTGCTGCCAAAGGTGAAGGTGCTTCAACAAAGTACTGAGTAAAGGGTCTGAATACTTAAGTCAATGTGATATTTCACTTTTTTTACCTGTTTTTGCTTTGTCATTATGGGGAATTGTGTGTAGATTGATGAGGGGAAAAAACAACTTAATCCATTTTAGAATAAGGCTGTAACGTAACAAAATGTGGAAAAAGTAAAGGGGTCTGAATACTTTCCGAATGCACTGTACTCTTGGTCTTGTAGTGTAGTTTATATTATAAGAGTATGCCTGTCTGGTTCTGGTTGGTGTCCTTAGGTGTTCCAGGATGGAGCCCTGGTGCCTGGCTGGGAGGGGAAGATAGTGGCCTGGGTGGAGGAGGACCATGGACAGAGACGGTAGAACTGGGAACCAACCAACCATAGAGGGAACCACTAGCCTCAAACGGTGACCACTGGACTATGATGCCATAACACCCTCTCAGTATTCTCAGCTGCCCTGCAGAGGTACAGTGGGGGAAAAAAGTATTTAGTCAGCCACCAATTGTGCAAGTTCTCCAACTTAAAAAGATGAGAGAGGCCTGTAATTTTCATCATAGGTACACGTCAACTATGACAGACAAAATGAGAGAGAAAAAATCCAGAAAATCACATTGTAGGATTTTTAATGAATTTATTTGCAAATTATGGTGGAAAATAAGTATTTGGTCAATAACAAAAGTTTCTCAATACTTTGTTATATACCCGTTGTTGGCAATGACACAGGTCAAACTTTTTCTGTAAGTCTTCACAAGGTTTTCACACACTGTTGCTGGTATTTTGGCCCATTCCTCCATGCAGATCTCCTCTAGAGCAGTGATGTTTTGGGGCTGTCGCTGGGCAACACAGACTTTCAACTCCCTCCAAAGATTTTCAATGGGGTTGAGATCTGGAGACTGGCTAGGCCACTCCAGGACCTTGAAATGCTTCTTACGAAGCCACTCCTTCGTTGCCCGGGCGGTGTGTTTGGGATCATTGTCATGCTGAAAGACCCAGCCACGTTTCATCTTCAATGCCCTTGCTGATGGATGGAGGTTTTCACTCAAAATCTCACGATACATGGCCCCATTCATTCTTTCCTTTACACGGATCAGTCGTCCTGGTCCCTTTTCAGAAAAACAGCCCCAAAGCATGATGTTTCCACCCCCATGCTTCACAGTAGGTATGGTGTTCTTTGGATGCAACTCAGCATTCTTTGTCCTCCAAACACGACGAGTTGAGTTTTTACCAAAAAGTTCTATTTTGGTTTCATCTGACCATATGACATTCTCCCAATCCTCTTCTGGATCATCCAAATGCACTCTAGCAAACTTCAGACGGGCCTGGACATGTACTGGCTTAAGCAGGGGGACACGTCTGGCACTGCAGGATTTGAGTCCCTGGCGGCGTAGTGTGTTACTGATGGTAGGCTTTGTTACTTTGGTCCCAGCTCTCTGCAGGTCATTCACTAGGTCCCACTGTGTGGTTCTGGGATTTTTGCTCACCATTCTTGTGATCATTTTGACCCCACGGGGTGAAATCTTGCGTGGAGCCCCAGATCGAGGGAGATTATCAGTGGTCTTGTATGTCTTCCATTTCCTAATAATTGCTCCCACAGTTGATTTCTTCAAACCAAGCTGCTTACCTATTGCAGATTCAGTCTTCCCAGCCTGGTGCAGGTCTACAATTTTGTTTCTGGTGTCCTTTGACAGCTCTTTGGTCTTGGCCATAGTGGAGTTTGGAGTGTGACTGTTTGAGGTTGTGGACAGGTGTCTTTTATACTGATAACAAGTTCAAACAGGTGCCATTAATACAGGTAACGAGTGGAGGACAGAGGAGCCTCTTAAAGAAGAAGTTACAGGTTGAGAGCCAGAAATCTTGCTTGTTTGTAGGTGACCAAATACTTATTTTCCACCATATTTGCAAATAAATTTATTAAAATTCCTACAATGTGATTTTCTGGATTTATTTCCTCAATTTGCCTGTCATAGTTGACGTGTACCTATGATGAGAATTACAGGCCTCTCTCATCTTTTTAAGTGGGAGAACTTGCACAATTGGTGGCTGACTAAATACTTTTTTCCCCCACTGTAGTTATTATAACAATTGGGACCAATCTATTTATGACTGTTTCGAGATAAAACCATACTTTCAAAATGGCTCTGTCCTATGGACATTTGACTTACAGTAACTGTTTGAAGTACAAGTTGTAGTTGCCAAATATGAATGAAGTTGTTCACAATACAATTTTGAAGTTTTAATAAACATGGATTACTGCATGAATATTGACTATTTGTGAATTATTTCCCAGAAATGCAGTTAATGTAACTCATGATCATGGAGGACTATAATTCCACATGAGTCATTAATGTTGTTGTGAATGTCTTTACTGAGGTACTGTATACTACTACAAAGGTTCAGACGCACAGCTTGTAGGATGCATAGCAGAAATTACATTACTGCCTTCTCTAATGGCCTTGTTATATTTCAAAAGTCCCAGTCTTGCCAGAGCAGACACATTTTTTAGAGTTTGCCTATTAATGAATTTGCTTCTTTTTAGTGTCAGCAGTACCGGCACTAGAGTATAGACACTTGCAAAGTTAATGTCCGTTTCTTCTTGTTGAACGTGGCAGAGGCCGACTCTTCATTCACAGTCTCAGGCAGCTCCAGGTGTAGATGGTACATATCCTCCACTTCTAGTAGTACATCATCCTACAGAGAAATACACACACACTATTAGACCCACAAGACCAAAGAAAGGATAACTTATAATGTAACATAGGCTATTATGTCACCATAGGAAGCGTTTAAGCAAGACAGACAGAATTTTAGTTCATCCGTCACAGGGCCTTATTCATAGCACAAGGGAAGGGGAAGCAGAGTGTTCCCTGACCTGGGAAATGCTGAGATGGCACTCTGTGATGGACTGAACCTTTGGTAGCTCCACAGTCAGCTTCAGGCTCCGAAAGCGGTCCCTGGGGTCAGAGTTGACAGTGAGCTGGTGCTGTGGCCGCTGAGGCTGGGCTGTCACTGAGCTGGAGATCACCTGGATCAGGTTTTTGGTCTTGTTGCTTTGGTCCCCTGGCCCAGGAGTTAGCTGGACAGATGTGATGAGCTGCACAGGTGTACTGTCCTCAGTTTGCCCTTCACGCAGAGAGGAGATCTGCTGAAGCAGGGAAGCTGGGGTCTGGGAGGCTGGGAAATTGATGTCAAATGAATGTCAAAACATTCATCTTCACCTACAGTATACCTTTAAAAAATCTAGAATATACTACATTAGTAGGTATTGCTCAATACATTTTAAATAAATAATCTCGCCTTTATCTTGGTGGTGGTGTCACCTTAATAAAAAATACAACTGTCCCCTTGAATCAGGGAATAATTACTTAAGAGGCCTTACCTGTGTTGGTGGCAGGGCTGGACTGTTTTAGAGGACCCAGGCGGCGCTGCATGTCCTCTAGGCTGCCTTTTACCTTACTGTTGCTGACGTTGTACTGCTGGGCCAGACGCAGGCCATGCTGCTGCTGGGTGAAGCTCAGGGCTAACAGGTGGACCTGGTCCTTCTCCCTCTTGTCCTGCTGAGCCTGCTGCAGCACCGCAGGGCTGAACGCCACATCCACCACACTGTAGTTGTCTGAGTACAGGAAACACAAGTTGTAGTACTGAGAAACGGCAATGAAACACATTTTTAGTTAAACAGTGTTACATAACATTGGTATCAAAACCATAAAACAAGTTATAAGAAAGTCAGCTGTAGTAGAAAGTAATTTTGGAAATGTTCACTTTTTTGCCTGCACCTCTTGTAATACATGTTACACTATAGGTAATTATGCAGAAATACAGGTTTGTGTTCTGCAGGACAACAGTGACTCTTGGTACCTCCTCTTTCATCAGTGTCTGTCTCCAGTCTCCCTCCACACACAGGCACTGGCTTGTTCTCATCAGCAGGGGCAGGGACACGCTTCCAGCCACACACATTGATGTACAGCAACCCTTTCTTTGGCTCCTGACACAAACAATAAAGCAACTGTTCAGCCTCTTTATAGTTCACACCTCCATATTATTAGCCCGCAGTGCACAATCAAACGTGCACTGCAAACAAATGAACCAGTATTCTCTAAACACACTTTGCTATGTCATTTTTATGTAGGCCAGTGTTCGAAGTTTGTGTGTTTCCAATCTATAAACTCTACAGTGTGGGTGTAGCTGCTCATAGAAAGCAGGTAATTTGTGGTACCAGCATTTCGATGAGTAGGCAGGAGTCAGGGTGAGGTGGTGCATTATAATCAGCTCCCTGTTTCATCTGTTTCTCGATATACATCTGGTAGCTTTGAGGGTCATTCTGAGACAGCTCGTCTAACATGGACCAGAACTGGTTGACCTGCTGCAAAACGTCCTTTGTACACCCCAGGGAAGAAGCCATATTTCTGAAAAGATATTGAGGGATTAGTTTAGTATACACACAGCTCATTGGAGTTTTTTATTTGATTATGGTATGGCAAGGAAAGTTAGCTATAGATTAACAAGCATGGAGATAATTCATAGCCAGGTTAAATAACGTTAACGTTAGCTAGCTACTGTAGCAATAGTACACCAGACAGCAATACCTTTGAATACAATCAAACTATTTGTTACGAATGCTGTGAATCAAATGGCGAACAGTAGTTATCCTTTTAAAACAAAACACATGGAAATACTCACAGTAAACCTGCTTGCTTCAAGTTCTTGCGACCCCTGTGCTAAAGTTACAGCTAAATGTTGACAAAATCAACTTTGTAGCTAGTGACCTGTGTTACTATGGAAACGAGATGAGAGGACGCCCTCTACTGACAGAAGTGAGGTGCTACTACATTGCACTCAATGGTGGACAGTGTCTGCTTCCTGAAATGATGGTTCTGACACATAAAGCTCTTTCATCACACCAGAGTAGACAATGGACATGTTTAGATATGAAGCATAATTTATTTTCAATACAAAACAAATATAAGGTATAAATATGTTCTCATTCAGGTGCTAAAAATACAATTTATGACAAACATGTATAGTATAAAAGTATTTCCTACTGTTAAATAATGTACGCATTTCTGAAATAAACATGGCCTTTATAAGGAGGTAAAATTACAGTTACAGTACAGGAGGAAGAATGTCAGGAGCATCTTATGTTTCAGTTTGCTCTAGGCCTGTTCTGGTCCTACATGAGTCTCCCTGATCATCCATTGTCTTATTCCTCTTCCTCCTCAGTAGCTCTGTGGATGGAGAAACAAATGTAACATACAGTATTATGCAATTTCAAGAGGAGAAACAGAACTGCATAGCAGATGTGGTCCTGATATATCAAAAATCATGCAATGGAAGAGTTAGTGTAAGGTTACCTCAATCATGTCGTAGATCCAGCCGAGGAACTCGGCCACCTTGGTGTAGACTCCGGGGTGGTTGGGCTCAGCGCAGCCTGTACCCCAGCTCACCACACCCACCAGTCTCCACACGTTGTCAATTTGACAGACCAGAGGACCCCCACTGTCCCCCTGGGGAGAGGACAGGAGCAGATACACACTGCTGTCAATCACACTGGTTACCAGACCACCATACTGATTGTTAGGGGTTGAGATATTGTAAAGTCACAGTGATTTAGGGATTATGGGTTGGGATATTGTGCAATACTGAATCCTGAGCGCCACTGAATTTGATCGGTAGGACCTTGAATAAAGCTGGTGTTCCCACTCAGGCACATGCCTAATGAGCTTTGTCTTTGATAATTCAAAACAGTAGTGTGGGAGACCTGGGGGAAAATATTCTCATTATCATGAACCAATTCTACTTTTGTAAGACAACAACTCTCTGACCTTTGGTACATCTCTTCTTAAAACAAACCACAGGAGGAACAACACAGGGATTTTTTATGAACTAACCTGACATGCGTCCACTTTGCCCTCGGTGTATCCAGCACAGAGCATGCGGGGGGTGATCTCTCCATTGTACATGCAGGAACTGTTGCATTTCTTGGTGCTTATCAGTGGAACTGGAGCTTCTTTTAGCGTGTCAGGGATGAGAACTGTCAAGGAAAGTCAAACTAATGTAAATATACCTCTTATTTTTATGATTTAAATGATTTGTGCTATGCGAAAACATTTAACCATCAATAGAGATACATTCAATTCTTCTATTTAAGTTATATTATTGATTTAACATAGTCATACCATCATCCGGTTGAGTGTAGCCCCAGCCAGAGATCCAGCACTGTGTTCCTCCTGGAAGATCATGCTCGTACTGTGGCAGACAGACAGGCCTGATGGTATCTAAAAAATAAAGAGAATATTAGGAATATTAGAAGACAGTGTAGGTCATTTTGAAGTTCATTTCAGTAATATTGGAACATGGTTAGGAACTGATTGCTGTAATAATATAGTTGAGTGTTCCAGTCAGCCAAGGGACTATGTGGTGCATTCAAAAGTGAAGTAATCAAGTTTCCTGTCACCTGAGAAATTCAGTGGGGTCTGCAGTTTCATCAGAGCAATGTCATTGTCGTGGCTCCTGGGATTGTATTTCTTGTTGTAGATTATATTTTCCACTGCATATCCAGTGTACTGAGCCATTTTAGCTGAACTGCGTGTGACAATACCAGCGTAAACCACCCAACTGGACACCTGTGGCAGCCTATAACTGGAATGTTAAAAAAGAGATGAAGAAATGTATATCAGCTAGATGGGTATCCAATTCTCAATTGTATAAAGTATTAATTACTTTGTGCAAAAGAAAGTGAGAGCTTTTACTGTCCCTAGTCATCACTACACTGTCATGAGTCAGTGACCTCTGACCTCTAACCTCCGACCTCTTACCCCGAGGGGTCATTGGGGGTCTTACTTGTGCACACAGTGGGCTGCAGTGACCACCCATTGGCTGGTGATGATGGTGCCTCCACAGGTGTGTCGGTTGCTGTAGTAGAGACTGACTTGCCAGGGCCACCTTCCCAAGGTAGCCTCCACTCCCCCGATTATCCTGGGCAGCTTAGCCCGCGTCCCACACTCTACACAGGCAAAGGAAACAAATATGAAGGCATTTTATTATACATTGTATGGAGGTAACTCATCACCATACTGGACAAAACATTAGGAACACCTTCCTAATATTGAGTTGCACCCCCTTTTGCCCTCAGTACCAGTGGAGGCTCCTCAAAGGGGGAAGGGAAGGACCATCCTCCTCAGTGAATTTCATAAAAATAAAAATGATAAAACATTGGAAAAGTTATCCTTTTTAGATAAAACTATACTAAATATTCACGTCACCAAATAATTGATTAAAACACACTGTTTTGCAATAAAGGTCTACAGTAGCCTCAACAGCACTCTGTAGGGTAGCACCATGGTGTAGCCGGAGGACAGCTAGCTTCCATCCTCCTCTTGGTACATTGACTTCAATACAAAACCTAGGAGGCTCTTGGTTCTCACCCCATTCCATAGACTTACACAGTAATTATGACAACTTCCGGAGGACATCCTCCAACCTATCAGAGCTCTTGTAGCATGAACTGCAAGTTGTCCATCCAATCAAAGGATCAGAGAAATATTCTAGTACTGAAAGCATAAGCTACAGCTAGCTAGCACTGCAGTACATAAAATGTGATGAGATGTTGACTCAAATAGAGAGAAAGACAATAGTTGAACAGTTTTCAACAAATGTATTTCTTTAAAAATGAAGGAGAAGCAAGAGAGAGAGAGATTTTTTTTTTTTTTTTACTTTCAGTTTCACTTACTTAGCTACCAAATGCAGCTGGCTAGTTTAGTTGCTCAAACACCCTGCCCAAACAGAGGGCTGCTATGTTAGCTAGCTGGCTATGACTATCCAACACAACACTGGAACTCCAAGTCAAGGTAAGCTTTTGATTGTATTAATTTATTGCCATTGGGGCCCGCCGGTCTAACTAATTACTGACTATACACTGTAACATTACTGCATGATTGTAGCGGGTTTACTAACGCATTAGTTCTATTAGCTATGTTGACTAGGACATTACTTTAGCTAATATGGGGACAATGATGTTGGTTGTGTGTAGCGGTTATGACATGGTTTGGAAAGTTTTTTTTGCCTGGTCACACACAGCTGATGTGTTGTTCATTGAAGTCCACAAACGAAGGGAAAAGGTGAGAGGAGGAGAGTGCATAGAGGCTAGAATGAATACAACGTGGCTGCTACGTATGAAAGTGAACTGTGTTAATGCGTGATCAGGGGTGTATTCAGTCCGCCGATTCTGTTGAAAAACTTTTATTTCAAACGAAACGTGGATTAAAATACCTGAATTTGTCCAATAGAAACTCTCGTTTGCAACTGTTGGACTAACGATTACAACCTAGATAAGCTAGATGCAGGCAAGAGTGTGCAAGGCGGTATTGAATGTGTCACTGTCTGTCCATGTGTCACTGTCTGTCATCTCAAATTCTTCTCTCGACCTGTGTGCACCTACGTTGTAAACTTTCATTCATATGCTAGGTTGTAGCTACCTCATGATGGGTGTAGGGAATATTAGAGTATCATGTAGTAGCCTAAACCTATCAATGTTACATTGAACTGGGTGAATGGAATATGAATGACAGTCATCCAACATGCTGTAATAGAAATAAGGCCATGTTCATGAAAAAAAGATTGTCCTCTCTCATCATAAACGGCACTGACCGCCACTGGACTCTACAAGGTGTTGAAAGCATTCCACAGGGATGCTGGCCCTTGTTGTCTCCAATGCTTCCCACAGTTGTGTCAAGTTGGCTGGATGTCCTTTGGGTGGTGGACCATTGTTGATACACACGGGAAACTGTTGAGAGTGAAAAACACACTCAAACTGGTGCAGCTGGCACCTACTACCATACCCCGTGCAAAGGCACTTAAATATTTTGTTTTTCACATTCACCCTCTGAATGGCATACATAAACAATCCATGTCTCAATTGTCTCAAGGCTTAAAAAGTATTATTTAACCTGTCTCCTCCCCTTCATCTACACTGATTGAAGTGGCTTTAACAAGTGACATCAATAAGGGATCATAGCTTTCACCTGGATTCCTCTGGTCAGTCTATGTCATGGAAAGAGAAGGTGTTCCTAATGTTTTGTACACTCAGTGTATACCACCAATGTGTAGAACTATGAAGTCCTGACTGAGAGGTCATATGAAGGTAATTGTGTCTTACCTATGTGTGAGATGCACAAATTTACAATGTAGTTCATCCGCTATTATGTTAGTGTTGTTAGTACCCTGCAGAAACTTACCAAAACATTTCAAAGCTATAACCTTCCCTGTGACGCAACTCGCCCTAAATAAAAACAAATCCAACCATTAGAAAAGCTTGATTACTTTGTTATAACACATCTATTTTTTTCTGCATCATTAGGTAATGTATTATCTCCTCAGACAGCTGCCGTACCTTAACTGCCATATATTTTCCAGGCTGCTCTTGTGTTCAGATGTGATCTGTATAAAGCCATCTGTGTAGTTAGGTCCGATGTCCGTTAAGTTCACCCCTTTTTGCTTGGTCAGTCTGGAAACAAAATAAATCATAGTTATATCTTCTATAAAAGATGGGAGAGTGTCTGTTTTAAAAAGTAATGTCTGATCCATGGGTCATAAAGCAAGCCTATAAACAAGGTATTAACAGAGCATTAAATAATCCATCATTAACTGGGAGCAATCAGCCTTATGGTTAGGTGAATAGCCTTTTATGTTCCCAAGCTGCTGTGGGCTTTATAATAAGAAAATGGTCTCAGTAGACTAGCCTTAGATATCCCAGCTGGCGGCAGACCAGGGTCCCCAGGGAAGAGTTCCATCTCTCATAGCACACAGGCAGCCAGGTGGGCACCTTCTCTAGCTGGATCTCCAGGAGAGAGTTCTCCGGGCTGATTCTGTAAAACACTGAACCTCATTGATTGAAAATAATCCTTCCAGAGACTAACTAGATCAACAGTAATGAACTGCTGTCTTGTTTGAGAGGGAAATGTTAAGCAGCTTATATCCAATAACTAATGTAGTCAATATAAACAGATCATTATTTCATGTTTTGAAGTCGGTCGATAGACAGTCTCCACTCCTCTCCGCTGACTGTGACCATGTAGAAGTTGTTAAGGAATGTATTAATAAAGATATGTACTGTTATAAAGACAATTATAGTTGTAATATAAACACATTTGGTTTATCACAAATGTTGTGATAAACCATAAAACTACTAGGAAGGTCATTCTGCCTGACCAATCATGTGTGTCCCAAATGGTACCTAATGTGCCTTCAGAAAGTATTCATACTCCTTGACTTGTTCCACATTTTGTTGTGTTACAACCTGAATTCAAAATTAATTAAATATTTGTTTTTCTCACCCATCTACACACAATACCCCATAAATACAAAGTGAAAACATGTTTTTTGAAATGTTAGCAAATTTAGTGAAAATGAAATACAGAAATATCTAATTTACACCCCTGAGTCAATACTTTGTAGAAGCACCTTTGGCAGCGATTACAGCTGTGAGTGTTTCTGGGCAAGTGTCTAAGAGCTTTCCACATCTGGATTGTGCAACATTTTCAAGTAGATTTAAATCAAAACTGTAACTCGGCCACTCAGAAACATTCACTGTCTTCTTGGTAAGCAACTCCAGTGTAGATGTGGCCTTGTGTTTTAGGTTATTGTCCTGATGAAAGGTGAATTCATCTCCCAGTGTCTGGTGGAAAGCAGACTGAACCAGATTTTCCTCTAGGATTTTGCCTGTGCTTAGCTCCATTCCATTAATTTTTTATTCTGAAAAACTCAACAGTCCTTAACGATTACAAGCATACAGTGGGGAAAAAAAGTATTTAGTCAGCCACACACCAGAAACAAAATTGTAGACCTGCACCAGGCTGGGAAGACTGAATCTGCAATAGGTAAGCAGCTTGGTTTGAAGAAATCAACTGTGGGAGTAATTATTAGGAAATGGAAGACATACAAGACCACTGATAATCTCCCTCGATCTGGGGCTCCACGCAAGATCTCACCCCGTGGGGTCAAAATGATCACAAGAACGGTGAGCAAAAATCCCAGAACCACACGGGGGGACCTAGTGAATGACCTGCAGAGAGCTGGGACCAAAGTAACAAAGCCTACCATCAGTAACACACTACGCCGCCAGGGATTCAAATCCTGCAGTGCCAGACGTGTCCCCCTGCTTAAGCCAGTACATGTCCAGGCCATATCCAGGCCCGTCTGATTTTTTTTTCTCATTTTGTCTGTCATAGTTGACGTGTACCTATGATGAAAATTACAGGCCTCTCTCATCTTTTTAAGTGGGAGAACTTGCACAATTGGTGGCTGACTAAATACTTTTTTTCCCCACTGTACACATAACATGATGCAGCCACCATTATGCTTGAAAATATGGAGAGTGGCACTCAGTAATGTGTGGTATTTGATTTGCCCCAAACATAACACTTTGTATTCAGGACTAAAAGTGAATTGCTTTGACAAATTTTTTGCAGTATTGCTTTAGTGCCTTGTTGCAAACAGGATGGATGTTTTGGAATATTTTTTATTATGTACAGGCTTCCATCTTTTCACTCTGTCAATTATGTTAGTATTGTGGAGTAATTACAATGTTGTTGATCCATCATCAGCTTTCTCCTATCACAGCCATTAAACTCTGTCACTTTTTTTGGTGTATTTTAACACCTTCTTCTCCCCAATTTCGATATTGTCTCATCGCTGCAACTCCCCAACGGGGCCAAACCGCGCTTCTAAACACCCGCCCGCTTAACCTGGAAGCCAGCCGCACCAATGTAACTGTTTTAAAGTCATCATTGGCCTCATGGTGAAATCCCTGAGTGGTTTCCTTCCTCTCCGGCAACTGAGTTAGGAAGGATGCCTGTATCTTTGTAGTGTCTGGGTGTATTGATACACCATCCAAAGCCAAATTAATAACTTCAACATGCTCAAAGGGATATTCAATGTCTGCTTTTTTATTTTTACCCATCTACCAATAGGTGCCCTTCTTTGCGAGGCATTGGAAAACCTTCCTGGTCTTTGTGGTTGAATCTGTGCTTGAAATTCACTGCTCGACTGAGGGACCTTACAGATAATTGTATGAGTGGGGTACAGAGATGAGGTAGTCATTCAAAAATCATGTTAAACACTATTATTGCACGCAGAGTAAGTCCATGCAACTTATTGTGTGATTTGTTAAGCACATTTTTACTCTTATTTAGGCTTGCGATAATAAAGGGTTTGAATACGTATTGACTCAAGTCATTTCAGCTTTCACTTGTAATGAATTTGTACAAAATTCGAAAAACATAATTCCACTTTGACATTGTGAGCTATTGTGTGTAGGCCAGTGACCAAAATATCTCAATTTAATCAATTAAAAATGCAGGCTGTAACACAACAAAATGTGGATAAATTCAAGGGGTGTGAATATTTTCTGAAGGCACTGTATACCCTATATAGTACACTACTTTTTACTGGAGCCTATGGGGCACCACATAGGAATAAGGTGCTATTTGGGATGTAGCCAATCCCACGGACAAGATGACAGTCTCTGTGGTGAGTTAGGGGCTGAGAGGCACAGACCTTTCCTGGGGTCAGCCACAGAGATGTCTTCGGTCACGTTACAGAAGGACGTCTCCTTGGTGTCCCCTAGTCCTGCTGGGCTCTGGGAAGAGGTAGGCCGCAACAACAACCTGACTGTGGGAGGAAAAACAACAACATGCAGAGTGAATTATAGTTGTAGTGGATGTGAAACAGATATTCTTAATCTAGCTCTGTCATTGTGTAAGACATGATTATCATGCATAGTTAATCAGCTATAACAGTCTCATTTTAAAACATTCAAATACAGTGTTCTATATTCTGACATGTAGGGTTATTTTTGTTTGTTATCCACCACGGCAAGGAATCTGTAATGCACAAACACTAGAACATTGAACATGTCATCATTCTCTTCATACTCCATGATTTGACACTTGCAGAATGTCTCACCTAGGAACCACACTCCGACTGCTAAGCCTCCCAGAAGTCCTACTGCACACACAGCAGCCAGTACTCTCACCAGTCTATGGGCTGACACGAGCACAGCTGAATTAGACACTGATAAGAGATAAACTGCTTGGGTATACTGATAAAAGGCATGTTAGCTGTCTGTCACACTGACATAGTGTGGAAGAGATAGCGGCACAGCATGTAACAGCCATTACACAGTCTACAACGTGCACACAACCTAGGATGTGAACAAAGCATACCACATGTAGGGAACAAGTGACAAAGATGAATGCTGAGCATTTCACAGGCAGTGTCATAATCAACTGACTCATATCAAGTCTGCATGGCAGCTGTGAGGGGTAGATGTTTACTGTACTACAGTTTGTGAAAAGGATATCTAAAGCTCTGAGGCTAGCTGGACTTGGCTTTAACTTAAGATAATGATAAGTACTAAAGCTTAATGCTGCTATATACTCGAATTAGATAAGACTTTATGTAACATGCCTTGTTTGTGCACTAATTGGATAATGTTGTCTACTAATGATAGCCTGTGGTTTCAACCCTATTAGACAGTGCACCACCCATTGCCTTACCGTGGTTTGTAGAGTGGATTCCTCTCAGCCAGGCATGGCAGCTCTGACTCTGAGCTCCTCGGGCCCCTCCCACTCCTTTCTTCTCTGGGTGAAAAGGATGACTGACAGCCACAGGATTCTCAATCACAGATAATGTATCTCCATCAAGATTCTGCAACATGTGCAATGAATACAACACACACACACACACTATTCATGTCAGTCTTCTGGGACACTGGATATGAACATAACCTATTCTTGCTGGCTGACTACCCCTCCCCTTCTACACACACAAGCCTTATTCATCCCCTTTATCAAACAGATTTAATTAGGATGACTGTGAAACCCAGAGATCTCAGGAGGGTTTGTCCAGGTGTATGGAATTTGAATGGCAGGTGTGTAAAGGTGCGCAGATAATGTCACAGGTGTCCAGGTGTGTGAACTGAAGCACAATGTATCATTCATAGCCAAACATGAGAATCCCAGGTAACGCGTCATACTTGTGCTGCAGACATATGGATTTACTCTACACAGAACCAGACCTATGCAGCAGGTATTTCACATGCAGGTGAACCAGACTACCTACATTTGTTTTCTATTGCAAGACATACACTTTTTAAATGTTAATCAGAGTTAAATACTACAGGGTATTTCTAGCTCATGCAGTGAGATATTGTGGGAAAATAGGGTGGCATTATATATTTACAAATCCCCTCTAAAACCATCTGCTCCAACATGATGCTTAAACATTGTAATAAACCCCTAGAATCAACACTAGTATGTTAACCCAAAGCATGCACTGTATGCATATATTTGCCTTTAAGTTATCCTCTCAAGTAGATAATACATTGTATTAGTAAGAAGTACACAATGTACATGTACTTGAAATACATTATGATGATTGACAATAGATGATTAAAAACCATTAACAAATCCATTAAATCGTCATAGTTGTTGTTAAACAACATGAACAACAGCTAGTACATGTACAGTAAATAGACAGAGGCATTATGAAAACATTGTCTGTTGTCAGTGATGTTGACACTCAATGAGTGACTCAATAGCATAAAGACAGAGGGTGTCAGGGGAGGTGAGAGCAACAGAGAAGGTATCAAGGTGATAATGAAGGTAAATAGGGGTAAGGAGAGAGACAGAGATATATAGATATGCCTGGAGTCTTACCATGTTATCCTTGTGTGTTTTGTTGTCCAGAGGAGAGAGTGGCACTGGGCTCTTCAGCGCTCATCTGTAGGCCTGTGTTAGGTTAGAGACAGAGATGCGCTCCACTCGCAGCTGGTCGACCATTTGCCATTTCACAGAATGCAACTCTGGATTTTCCCTTCACAAAGAGACAATGAGGTCAGCAGTGGTGCTGTGCTGCTGAATGAACCTGTTGTTTTGCCAAGGGGGTCATGGGGCCTATGTAGTTCTTTGTAGGGGGGAACATCTCCAGAGATAACACCCCCCCACCCCCCAAGCCACTGATAGGGCAGGCAGAGGCACAGGTTGCTTAGTAACACCCTTACCTGTGCCAACAGAGCATCCACTTGGCAGACAGAACATTATTAGCTGAACATTGTAGCTTCATGAGCAAAGGTCATAATATCACGTCCTCATATCACGTCAATCCCAGTCAGACTAATTTTGAATCCAAAGATATCACATCTCTCACCAGGCCACTCAAGAACAAGATGAACACTGTTCTGCCTGCTGGTGAGCTGACAGATGTTCACTCTCTCTCTCAAAATAAAAAACATTATGCATTTGTACAGTTTTTGTTATCAATTATTATTTCTTTTTTATTTCTGGATACCCGTTACAATATATACAATTTACTCTGCATCAGGTGCAGTACAAAAAATGACCAACCAACAAACCATTTTTTGAGTGAATCATATTTTATTTTACAAGGATATCAAAATAAATGTGTTAATTAAAATATGACTAAATCAGGACTTTTTCATCTGTTTACAGGTAAAGTATGTCCCTTCTACGTTACCGCCAAGCTTAATTAACCCAGTATCACCTATTTAATATCAAGGTGTTTCTAAAAAAAAAAATATTCATCTGCCAGCTAGAATTCCAGCCAGCAGAAAGTACCTTTGATATGCAGTATCTCCCATGGGCGTGGTATGGGATTAGGCCCGGAGATAGCCAGGTGAGGAGGATAACTGCCAGGGAAAACATTCCGTACACCCGGACTGTCCAGACAGCATCCCGGAAACGGCCTGCATCTCTTTGGCTCATCTGACCACTGTCAGATGAAAGGATGTACAAGTCAAACCCACTCTAAGAAGTCTGTCTGTCTGTCTTTCTGCCTGTCTGAACACTGTGACCTGAGGTGGACGTGGCAGACTAATACTGTGTGCTGACATGCAGACTAGGAATGCGCATTGGTTTACAGTATATATTTACAAAAAATATATACGGTGGATTGGAAATGATGCAGACAATTACACTGATGGAAGCCACAATCTATCTGCAATGTTAAAGCTGATCTACCGCGTAAAAAAATAAAATAAAAATGAGTCTATGATGGTATGTGAATGAGATGTCCCCATTGCTGGTGACGAGACAGTAATACTGACATTCATTTGTCTTGTCATGTGCGACTGTCCGTTCGGTCTTCCATTTATGAAATTGGCACCCCACAATACAATCATTAAATTACACACATCATTGAAATCTTAATTGGGAGAGCTTGATGTATGGGCAGTGAGATACCAAAGAACTCATTCAATCAGCATAATTGTAACTGTATATCACAAAAGTGCTTGCCTAGCACAAGGCATGATGTGCTCACTGCTCACGCTAACAAACTTGAAGTATTCAGAAAGTTTGATAAATGAGAAATATAAATGGCAGCTTTAGATATTGGTTATCATTAATTTGTTCACATTGTATAAACATTCTGGAGGATATGTACAGTGTGTCTTGATTTCATCAACTTTGATTAACACTTCTATGCCGACTTGTCTAACGTCCATATTTATATAAAGAACTCATTCTTACTAAGTTTCCTAGTTCCTGTGCCATTGTTATTAGTGACTGAGTTGCACAGTAACATTTCATCAGATAAATACTGGTAATGTACAGTGGGGAAAAAAAGTATTTAGTCAGCCACCAATTGTGCAAGTTCTCCCACTTAAAAAGATGAGAGAGGCCTGTAATTTTCATCATAGGTACATGTCAACTATGACAGACAAATTGAGAATTTTTTTCTCCAGAAAATCACATTGTAGGATTTTTAATTTATTTATTTGCAAATTATGGTGGAAAATAAGTATTTGGTCACCTACAAACAAGCAAGATTTCTGGCTCTCACAGACCTGTAACTTCTTCTTTAAGAGGCTCCTCTGTCCTCCACTCGTTACCTGTATTAATGGCACCTGTTTGGACTTGTTATCAGTATAAAAGACACCTGTCCACAACCTCAAACAGTCACACTCCAAACTCCACTATGGCCAAGACCAAAGAGCTGTCAAAGGACACCAGAAACAAAATTGTAGACCTGCACCAGGCTGGGAAGACTGAATCTGCAATAGGTAAGCAGCTTGGTTTGAAGAAATCAACTGTGGGAGCAATTATTAGGAAATGGAAGACATACAAGACCACTGATAATCTCCCTCGATCTGGGGCTCCACGCAAGATCTCACCCCGTGGGGTCAAAATGATCACAAGAACGGTGAGCAAAAATCCTAGAACCACACGGGGGGACCTAGTGAATGACCTGCAGAGAGCTGGGACCAAAGTAACAAAGCCTACCATCAGTAACACACTACGCCGCCAGGGACTCAAATCCTGCAGTGCAAGACGTGTCCCCCTGCTTAAGCCAGTACATGTCCAGGCCCGTCTGAAGTTTGCTAGAGTGTATTTGGATGATCCAGAAGAGGATTGGGAGAATGTCATATGGTCAGATGAAACCAAAATAGAACTTTTTGGTAAAAACTCAACTCGTCGTGTTTGGAGGACAAAGAATGCTGAGTTGCATCCAAAGAACACCATACCTACTGTGACGCATGGGGGTGGAAACATCATGCTTTGGGGCTGTTTTTCTGCAAAGGGACCAGGACGACTGATCCGTGTAAAGGAAAGAATGAATGGGGCCATGTATCGTGAGATTTTGAGTGAAAACCTCCTTCCATCAGCAAGGGCATTGAAGATGAAACGTGGCTGGGTCTTTCAGCATGACAATGATCCCAAACACACCGCCCGGGCAACGAAGGAGTGGCTTCGTAAGAAGCATTTCAAGGTCCTGGAGTGGCCTAGCCAGTCTCCAGATCTCAACCCCATTGAAAATCTTTGGAGGGAATTGAAAGTCTGTGTTGCCCAGCGACAGCCCCAAAACATCACTGCTCTAGAGGAGATCTGCATGGAGGAATGGGCCAAAATACCAGCAACAGTGTGTGAAAACCTTGTGAAGACTTACAGAAAAAGTTTGACCTGTGTCATTGCCAACAAAGGGTATATAACAAAGTATTGAGAAACTTTTGTTATTGACCAAATACTTATTTTCCACCATAATTTGCAAATAAATTCATTAAAAATCCTACAATGTGATTTTCTGGATTTTTTTTCTCTCATTTTGTCTGTCATAGTTGACGTGTACCTATGATGAAAATTACAGGCCTCTCTCATCTTTTTAAGTGGGAGAACTTGCACAATTGGTGGCTGACTAAATACTTTTTTCCCCCACTGTACTTTGTTTGTAGACATGTTGGAGGGGACAGAGTCTGTGTTGTGTCCAGGGGATCTCTCATATCTTTGTCTCACTGCCATCTCTCTGTCACTGTGTGTGGCAGTCTGGACCTTTTAGGTTTTATCAGAAGTCTTGTGATTGGACCCAATCTCCCTCTTGGGGCGGAAGGTAGCTTAGTGGTTAAGAGCGTTGTGCCAGTAACCGAAAGGTTGCTGGTTCTAATCCCCGAGCCGACTAGGTGAGAAATCTGTCGATGTGCCCTTGAGCAAGGCACTTAACCCTAATTGCTCCTGTAAGTTGCTCTGGATAAGAGCATCTGCTAAATGACTAAAATGTCTAGTGGCTTGTATGACTTAAAGTGCTGTCCCCAAAGAATCTCATCTTCAGTGTAGGACGTCCTCACATGGAAGGCTGTGCCTGAGAATAAATACATATTTACAGTCAAGTGAATCTAAGATTATATTATATACATCTGCTGTCCGATCCAGGCATTAAGGATACTGTAGGTCCCTTTCAATTTAACTATATTAATGTTTTGATAATGATAACATATCAATAATTCACAACCATTAATTTGAAGTGTCCTTTTTGTACTGATTGAAACAGCCCAAACATATATTTTATTACAACTCCAGATTTCCCCACCTCTCAGTACAAACCTGCGTCTTGGACGGCTCCGTCCACCATGACCACGATTTCAAAGGTCTCCCACTTTAAAGAGTCAGCGCTGATGCCCCAGAGAGGATTGTGTTCATCAATGACATGCTCCACGGTCTGTGGCTCCACTATGAACAGCCTGTCTCCATCTGGCCCCATCCCCAGAGTCAGCTCTCTCTGCTCCAACAGGATGAACTCTCCCTCTTTGGTATGGTGAGATTTGATCAGCTTGGCTCTTATCTCTGCCACCAGCATGTGAGTCTCTTTCAGTGTCCTGACGTTGAACATCAGGCACAGCCTGTTATCCCTCTCAGAGACCACACAGTGCTGACTGAACAACAGAGTGGGCAGCCTCCTCTTAGGCTTGGCTAGCTTGGCCAGGATGCAGCCCAGCATCAGAGCGTCTAAAACACTGATTAAATTATGGACTGTGCCATCATGAGAACCAGCCCGTCCATGCAGTTGGCTGAGGCCACTCTAGAGCCGTAGCCATTTATGATTTGGCTGTCCATGGAAACAGAGAGGGCCGAATGGAAACTGTTCAGTTTCTCAAAACATGGCTGCCATTGCGGGTCTTGTATGTGTTCCATATCACCACGCAGCCAGGCATCCAGGAAGTAGAGCTCTGCGAAGGCTGTCCAGGTGACAATGTAGCACAGGGTGAAGACAAACAGCATCCAGCTGTACTTCAGATCCACCAGGGTGCCTATCAGGTCACACATCTTGTTCTTGGAGCTGTAGGATGAGCCGCGACACATGCCATCCTTGGTGAAGTAGTGATATTGCTGGCGACCATTAGAACTGGAACTCTTGTGTCTTATGTCTTATGTCTCCTGTACTCTTGGAATAAGGAGATGTGGCCTTTTTCTGTGTTTTCTTCCCTTTACCAGGTTTACTAGAGCCTTTCTTAAACCAGGAGCGTGTGTCATAACTGGAGCAGCTCCCAGCACTCCTGGTCTGCCTTGCTTTGTGCTGTGATTGGATGATCCTCTGACTGACCGGCAGTGGGCTTTGTCTGGTGTTGGGCCGGGGCTGCCCCATGCCTAGCCCCAGTCTCGGAGAGGATGGCGAACAGGCATGGTGACATACTGACCCCTACTGGTCGCCCTGGAGATTTTCTTGGGATCGGCTAAAGATACTCTCGTGTCCCCCTGCAGTCAAGGCATCAAGACAGTAAGGTGTCATCTGAAATCGAACAGTGAAGATGTTGATAACAATACAATAATAAACCAGTCATCTTTGCAGTGAATATTGAGACGTTATACTGACCCTCCTCAGGTATGGCCTGCATGGGTTATATGGGTTGTGTCGAAGTGAAGCTCTGGGTCTGATGTTCTTCCTGGGGTACGGGGGAGGTCCATAGTTGCCATAGTCCTCATAGAGTGAACAGCTGTTGGAGATCACCGTGGAGAGCATGGCTGGAATCACCTTCTGTGGACCATAGACCAGTCACCAACACCTGAGAGAGAGAAAGAACCCGAGACAACCTGACAGGAGTGTCCACCGTTTATACTGTCAACAAGACAAACTAGAAAAAAGTTTATCACCTGTGCAGGTAAAAAAATCCTGTTTACAATAATAGTTTTTCATTGTATCTAGGGTGACACTTGTATCCAGTCTGAGAGCATAGAGCTAGAGTTGACGTCCCTGTTTGTGTCTTGTTGTAAAGACTAATGATGGAGAGGGTGGATAAGAGCAGGGCTGCTGCTCCAGTCAGTCTCCAGTCAGTCTCCAGTCAGTCTCCAGTCAGTCTCCAGTCGGTCTCCTGTCAGTCTCCAGTCAGTCTCCTGTCAGTCTCCAGTCCAGATGGTGTGTAATGTGCTGCCCACCATGCTCACACTAATTAAACAGAGGAGATTACATTAGCACCAGCTCTTAATCAATCTGCTCGTCTACAGATCATGACCATGGATTTCAGGAGATTTAGTTACACATGTGTAACTAAATTTAGCCCACCTTTTAACTTTTCAAAATGGCTCCATTACATTTGGTGGATCTCATCCTCATCAACTACATAAACAGGACAGGATAGTTCTGTGTCAGCACAGTTGTAATACACTAGTGGACTATTCCATCATTGCAAACAAACTAGGATCTTCTTTACTACGTCCAAGTCATTGTGTGTTGTCACTATGCTCTGCTGGTGGATAAACTGTTTTCAGCATATCCCCTCTAGGTAAAAAAAATGTCATTCTAAATTACTGAATCGAAAAACACAATACAAATGGAAACACAGCAATGCTATGGTCTATACCAACACATCCCAAACCCACAAATAAACATACAAACAAGTACATTTAAACAAAGGTTGTTCCTGTGATGAAGAATTCCCTCTTGTTATTGACTAGGTGCAGTTAGTGTATGGGTGCCATTCTGCTTAGTGGTGTGGTAGAGTAGAGGGAGGGAGGGCAGAGAGGCAGTGACTTTTCCCTTCCCTCATCTGTAGCAGCTAGACAAACCCACACAGCTGTTAGTCTGGCATCGTGCCACTAAGGGTCACCAAACTGCCTGTCATGACTTCAGCTGCATACAGTGAGACAGGAAAACACAACTGTTTTGTATTGTCACGTTTATTTTTGCTATTTTATGTTTTACTGTAAGTGTCATTGGGGTATTTTGAAAGGCGCAAATAAAATGTATTATTATTATTATTATTATTATTATTAACACAACCTTCATGGATTTTTTTGGTATTTTATTAGGATCCCCATTAGCTGTTGCGATCGCAGTAGCTACTCTTCCTGGGGTCCACACAAAACATGAAAAATGACATAATACAGAACATGAATAGACAAGAACAGCTCAAGGACAGAACTACATACAATTTGCATTTTGATCTTTTATAACAACTTCAAACACTGAACATTTTCCTGTAGTGCATGTGAATAGTATGCAAAAAAAAAACTGACAGTAAGAACTCACTTTACTTGACTGATGACACAATACAGACCTGCATTGTAAAATACTTCCTATTTTAGTCTTTTTTCACCATGCCACAAAACACTGATGCGTAAAGAGAGCTGTGCCTGAATCCACACTGAGAAAACACTTGTACACACAGTGTTACAAAGCTGTAATGCAAAATGATTTAACACACATGGCAAGAAGAACAACCCTGATTGGACACCAGGACAAGCACTGACTGAACTGGTACTGAGGTAGACAAACATTTACATAATATCTACCTAAATGATGATCATCACATCCTTCTAGTACACACACCAAATAAAACGACTTTTGCTTTGTTAAAACATAGAACGATCAAAGAAAAACCTTTTTTGAAAGAGCTCTGTTAGTTTTGGTCCACCACGGAAATCCTAAGATCCTTATAGTGCATGTGTATTCTAGAATAGAATAGTAGTACATAGAAGATTAGTTGGTGCTTTTAATTGTTTTCATGGCATTGAGTGTTGGCTGTTTGTTCTAGAAGGCCATTGTGTTAGATAGACCCATATATGCCCAACGTCTAGCTTTATAAAGATTATTAACAATACCACTATGTATTCTGTGTCTTCTGTGCATTTCTTCCCATTAGATAAATTTACAATCCAAATTTTACTTTGACATGATAGAACATTTAAAAAGAAAATCTCACTCGTAAACTTTGCTTTGAGGCTTGAGGTGCCTGGGGCATAATCCCATAGTTGTTAGAAGTATCTTGTTTCAAATTACAATGTTTAGACATGTTTAGGGTCTACTATGGCATGGCAGTGAAAATCAGTTCTTCACCTGACAATAAACAAACACCCAGGAACAACAACGGTCAATACAACAAACATGTACTGTATTCATGTATTCAGCAGATCTATTCTCCATTTACAAAAGAGGCACAGGGAGGGCTCTTACTAAAATCAGACTCCAGAGACTTACAAAACACACAAGAAAATATGTTTCTTAAATCAAAACAAATGTAAACAAATTGCAGATCACTGTAATACAAAAATACAACATTTTAAAATCAGAGAAGCCCTCATTTGGCTCTCGTCTAGGAATAAGATACAATTACATTTTGTAATTACAGCAACAGACATCACAACTGACGATAACCTGCTTTTAGTGATTTAACTTTACAGAATCAATTTTCATATTTAGTAAAAAAGACAACACTTTTAGTCACATTTTCATTATTTTCATCACTTAGAAAAAAATTGAATTCTGTGATTTAACAGACTGCTATAATTCTACAGATAAAAAAATGATTCACACAAAAGTCACTTTGAAGGCTTTCAAATCTTTTTTTCCACCCAATAGGCAACCGTCCGAATCAATTCCATGAATTAATTCGCAGAACATTTCAAAGCGCTTCACCAATATAAAAGGACATTTGAAGGTAAAGCCACGGATGATGGATGAAAACACAATGAAAAAAACTCTTCTAGGATGTGCTATTGCCTCTGTGCAAAAGTTGAAGATAGAAGAGGTAGCGCTTATTCTAATATCAAAATAAACGGCCTTGAGGTTGGGTAATAATAACCTATTTGGTAACAAAATCGATGCATGACATAAATAGCAAAACCTGTTACACCTTAATGCTTGTCAATCAGCATGAGCAGACAGACTAACTGACAGGTAGGGGAAATCATATGTGTAATATGCACACTGGAAAAATAAGACACAAATTAAATCAAGCCTATGGAGACCATTCAAGTAAACATGCAGAAAACCAACAACACCCCAAAAAAATCTATAACAGGAAATGTCACAGGAAATAATAAGCCAGGAAATGTTTGTTTATCTCAACCAATCTACGTAGTAAGGGTGGAAATAGTACTGCAATTCTACCAGAGAAGTTTGGTTCTAGGTCTCACAATCACAGTCACAGCAGATAGAACTCAATATCCTTTCTAGTGCAACACTCTTTCACTGCTGTGGTAACCTGACCAGTAGTATTTTAACCTTCAACACATATGCATGTTTAATGTAATGACAGATCATTGAAACAATTTGTGATAAAACCAATCAAACCACAGAACTGATCAACTTACTTTTCTTTAGAGGAAAGAATAAGATGAAAAACCTGCCCACACATAGGATAGTGTGTCTTAGTGTCCAAGTCCTGCTCAGACGTAGCATACGTACAGGTAGGTCTTCTCTATTCTCCAGTCCGGGGGCACATCCTCGGGTCTGTGGCTCTTCATGTGTTTCTGCATGGCTGCCAGGCTGGGGCAGAAGTCCTGGCAGATGGTACACTGGTAGGGCGACGCTCCATTGTGGGTGCGCAGGTGCTTGATCATGGCAGAGTAGTCCCTGGATCGCTGGTGACAGATCTTGCACTCAAATGGCTTCTCACCTATAGGAGTACAACAGCATACTCGTGAAACCTTTCTTGACTATATGCTAAAACCAGTGGTACTATTTTGAGAAAAAAAATGTATGCACTCACTAACTGTAAGTCACTCTGGATAAGAGCATCTGCTAAATGACTAAAATGTCAAATGTACTATCTAACACACATTGGTTTGACCTGTGTGTATGCTGTCATGAACACAAAACAATCTGACGTGGGAGTATGTTGTTATTACGACCAGACACTGCTCTCTAACCTGTGTGTACGCGGTAGTGGGTCTCCAGCTGGTGCTTGAGGCTGAACCTTTTGCCACAGCCGTTACACTCATAAGGCTTCTCTCCTGTGTGGATGCGTTTGTGTCCCCTCAACATGCCATCGTCCCGGAAACAGCTCCCACAAAACTCACACTCAAACGGGTGGTCACCTGGAGACACAGGTTAGACACAGGCTGGGTAAAGGTTGGATACACATCATTACAGGTGTCATAATGCTAAACAGTATCAAACGGTTCAGGTAAGCCTCCGCTCTTCAGCAAATGGTATCAAAAGGGTTACTTTATAGTGACTAATACTTGCATATGATAAATGTACAGTTGTACAGGTCAATAAAAACAGAACCTTTTGCATATAAGGCTGTAAAAAAATCATGTGCGTTCAGATATATATATAATAATAATATAATATACTGTATATAATAATGTTATGACATGTGATAATAATAATTTAATATAATATACTGTATATATGAATGTTATGACATGTGATAATAATAATTTAATATAATATACTGTATATATGAATGTTATGACATGTGAGGATACTCCCTCCGGCTGCCTGCTAACAGCTAATATAAGTCCTCCAGACAGGTGGTGCTCTCCATAGCTGATCCATCTCCCTCTGAGGCTGTGGCTTTGAGTCATCTGCAATGACCTATGTGTCTCATTAGCTCAGTGTCCACAGCAACAGCCAAGTGGGACAATACACTGCACTGCTCATTATAGCCTGATGCTTCACAAAGCCCCCCATGCTACAAGACACATGACATTTACACAATGATACTACGAAGAAGACTGTGGTATAGACAAGATACACATGATGGCCAAACTCCACTCATCAATTATGTTTTTGTTCAATCTAGACGTGGATCAGAAGAAGGGGGCATCCTTTCAGTAAATATCTCTCTCTCTTCTCTCTCTCTCTTTCTCTCTCTCTTTCTCTCTCTCTCTCTCTCTCTCTCTCTCTCTCTCTCTCTCTCTCTCTCTCTCTCTCTCTCTCTCTCTCTCTCTCTCTCTCTCTCTCTCTCTTTCTCTCTCTCTCTCTCTCTCTCCTTAGGGAACCAGTGACTAACTCTCAGAGGAAAACACAGACATTGGCTGTTCTTTAGATATTTATTTCGATTTTCGCTGTCATTTGGGGAGAACTGCAGTAGAACTGACAGGCATGAATGGCAGGGGCCTAGAAGGCTGTGTCTAAGAACATAAAAACATAAACCGGATAAAATAGCCTCAAACATAACACTGGCCATAACGAAGCATTGCTGTCATCAGGAAAGTGAATCATCGCGGAGTTAATTAACGTTAAGTGAATGTAAACATGATAAATTTAGTGAAACTGACTGTAGCCTGAAATTGAAAAACTCTGGTCTTATGCTACTTCAGTCTAGTGCCAAGACAGAAGTAGTAGTTCAAGGTACTTAAAGATGAAAGGATTGAGGTTTATGGGAATTGATCTCATTGCAGCTTTAGATTGTGTGTTAATGTATGGAGGACTAAAAGTGCCACAATTAAATAAATAAATACACCATTAAATAATTACTTAAATGTGTCATTAATTAATTAAAATTAGAATTAAATACATAAATGTGTAATTAAATGTATCATTAATTAATTCAAATACCGATTCATTTTATGTAAAATACATATATAATTATTTCACTATTTACATTTAAATTTCATGATTCTGCATTGCAGTGATTCATGAATTACTTAAAACTGTCAAACTGACCCATCAAAGTCAGTGGGCGGGGCTAACGCGAATCTAGTCTGTTCCATTGCTTTGGTCTGAAGTAGAGTAGGCCAACCTGGATAGAGACAATGGAGGATCTCCGTGAACTTTCCAGGGAGTTGGTTAGAGACATTTTAAACTTAGCAGAGGATGTAGAAGCAGGACCTGCTGACATTATCCGGAATTGATTTGTCTTGGCTTGATGCAGAGGGTAACCAATCAGGCGTTAGGTTCCGCCTACCAACTTTTGATGGGTCAGTTTGACAGTTTTAAGTAATTCAGGAAGCACTCCAACGCAGGACCATGAAATGTAAATGTAAATAGTGAAATTATTATATATGTATTTTACATAAAATGAATCGGTATTTGAATTAATTAATGACACATTTAATAACACATTTATGTATTTAATTCTAATTTTAATTAATTAATGACACATTTAAGTAATTATTTAATGGTGTATTTATTTATTTAATTGTGGCACTTTTAGTCCTCCATATTAATGTAGGCGATGATGTTGACGGATATGACAGTGATGATGATGATGATGGTGATAGTGATGATGATGATGATGAAAACAGTGAAGATGATGATGTGGTCCTCTGTAGCTCAGCTGGTAGAGCACGGCGCTTGTAATGCCAAGGTAGTGTGTTTGATCCCCGGGACCACCCATACACAAAAAAAATTATGCACGCATGACTGTAAGTCGCGTTGGATAAAAGCGTCTGCTAAATGGCATATTATTATTATTATTTATTATATTAAGATGATGATGTTGATGAAAACAGTGGTGGTGATGATGAAGATGAAGATGATGATGATGATGATGATGATGATGATGATGAAAACAGTGGTGGTGATGATGATGAAGACGACAATGGGCACAGATTCAGTCCTTACCTGTGTGTGAGCGCAGGTGGCGTTTGAGGGTGGTGTGGCTGGGGAAGGGGTGGTCACAGTGGCTGCAGACGTAGCTGTGCATCCCTGCATGGACCTCCATGTGCTGCTGCAGAGCCTTCTGGGTCTGGAACCGCTTGGCACACAGCAGACAGAACACTGCCATGTCTGTCCCTGGAGACCACACAGAGAAAGAGACACAGTTATTTCAGGACCAAACATACAGTCAGTGGGAAAACTGGGTCACTCAACTCTGAGCCTGAGACTCCTCTGAGTGTTCTGAGGAGAATGCTTCTTTCTAAGAGCAAAGTGTTTCTACCTAAACTAACCCCCTTGACAGGCGTGAAATACATTCAGTTTTACTTTATACACCTTTCTGATTGACGTTGACTTGGAAGTCATTGTCTTTTAGAGGGTTTTTTTACACAATAACAGGATGCTAGAACTGTCAATCATATAATCAATGCCTTCTCCTTATGGGATGTTAAAAGAGGAATTATTCTCCTCAATCCCCATCAAGCCTCTGCTCCAGCAGCCTCTGAAGTCCTCTGTGTCTGTTCACAGAGAGAGGCTGATAGCAGCTCCACCCTGAACGATGCCTACACTATGAGCTATGTGCTGAATGTTAAGTAGCGATATCAACCCATTAAAGGCAGGACTGCGGGAAAAACACAATCCTTTTAATCCCGTGTGTGACCTGGCATCACTTTGGGGTTGCTCTCCTGTTGCACTGAGAGTGGAGTAGAATACAGATAGGGAAACACAGGCTAGTTTTACTCACACAGGATCTGTAAAGAACCACCATTAAATACACTCACAATATACAGGGTTCTTACTTGTTCTTACACTATTCAATGACCCCTCTGCTTATCCCTCTCATGAAAATCAAAATGTGAGGTAGGACTTAATCATCAGTTCATCGGGTAATCAATTCCACTGATAATAATGTATGAGTCCTGCAGAGAGGTGGTAAATGTTAGGTTATGATGTCGGTATTTCTCTGTCTGCTCGGGTTTGGGATCATTTACAAAGCAGGTTCCATTGCTCACGACTCGGATCTCCAGCGGTGGATCATTAGTAAACAGGAGGCTATACCAGTGTTTCATTGGAATTCAAGTGGGGTAGCTGAGTTGCATTTAAAATGCAGTCTGATGAGGTCCACTAAATCAAATCATTTGTTACTGTTATTGAAGTGCCTTGAGGCAACTGGCAATTAAATCGGAATTAGTGCAGGGAAAGAGATACACCACACTCATACTAAGAGAGGAGATTGTTAGACAGTGTTCGGAGTTCAATCAAGTTAACAGACAAGGATATTTATAGTCAATAATTCCAACAATTTCAGCAATAAATCATATTATCTCTCTATTGTTTACCGTTTTCCTGCAATCCACATGCCTTTTATTTTAGTCATGATGATTCCCAGATACCCTTCATTTATTGAACCACCACATAACCTACTCTGAGTGAGTCAGTCATTATCTTAGTGCCTCACATTACACGTGGTACTCTTCACAAACGACTGGGAATACACAACATGAAAGGCCTAGTTTACATCAGCCCTAATTTATAGGATGAAATGTGTCACTAATATTCAGAATATTTCTAAGACTACATGCATCAGTGTTATTTTTATTTTCTCTCTAGTTATTAGATATTGATCATAGGACTTTATGGAATTAAAGTAGGCTATAAGCTTGCTGTGATTTGCCCTAAACTGCACTAGGATAATTTAGCATTATTTATACTCATTAACAAAGAAGAGAGAAGATGAGAGATGTTCTCCACTCCATACAATGCAGCAGAAAGAGAGCCTACTGGAATGCACTGCACCTGTCCACTAGCTTTATTCCAGTGGCCATCTATCTTCACAATAGAAACACAATGTGGTTCAGACCCTCAATGGCCAGGTCCATTAGTCATAGGCTCCTCATGCAACTCATACACTTCCAGGCTTTGTGTAGTAGCCTAATGATCAGGGCTTTTCTCACCCACGGATCACAATGTTTTACCGATGGACAAAATATCATCCCTGTACTGCCCCCAACCCTGACTAGACAGGAAAGCTTCTCTGTTATGTCTCACTGTCCAGCTGACTATCTACTTTCTTTAGTTTCTGATTGTTTCTAAAGAAGCAGAGCTACCTCTTGAGTGGAATGCACCAACAATCTAGGCTAAATAAACATGTATCCTAAAAAGTAAAAATACCTTTAGGAACTGCAGAATCCATTCTGTGATGCTTGACCGGTGGTACTAAATGAAAAATAATCTAAGAAAAATGTGTCAAGCTATTAAATCTCAATGCAACCAGCAGGGGGAGTGCTCTCTACTCTTCTACTCCTAGCCTCCAACATGCTGGAGGGGACCTCAAATGATCCAGTACCATAAGTTACTTATGGACTTCTGTGTGATTAAATGTTTTCCTCAGAAAATGTTCTCACTCAGTATCATTCCTCCATTCTTCTCATTCCTTCATTCTTAAAATGGCCATTTAATGACCATTCCCATAAGTCTGCATTCTGCCTATTTTGAGCATTAAACCATTACACGGTATGGATTCATTCTTGTTCTACTTGTCATTTCCTGCTTCTAGATGCTCAGTAAATACCCTCTCATCCCACTGCCATGAAAATAATGTGAAACGCTTAACAGTCCCACATCCACAGTGACAACACCTTAAGTAATACAGTAGTTGCCAGTAACAAGTCAACTTCATTGAAAGAAAATAACAGAAGCACCAATACAAATAGTCCCTTTAATAAAAGCAGTAGATAAAAGTGACAGAGTCAGTGGTGCAGCACATACAGTATGTATATATGCAGACATTCATTAATTTGATGACTACCTGCACCAGAGCACCCTGTTAACTTTCACACAAAAACACTTGCTTTCACACCAGCCTTTTCCAGTAGGCTTTGCTCCTTAGTGCAGAGCAGCCTTTCTATGAGAAAACACGATCTCCAGTAGGCATGCCACTGCCCCCACTGCCCCCACTGCCCCCACTGCCCCCTGCTTTCTCACCCTTAACCAGACAAAGGGAATGGGATTTGGTCTTCTGACCTCTTGACCCTAGGTCCTCAATGTGGTAAACACCATGTAATCAATGGTATTCCTCAAAGGCTGGATGGCTGACTGAGCATTGTGCCTCTATTGAGTCACACAGGGGAGGGGCCTTGCAGACATTCCACAGAGAAAGATGATTTAACTTCAGTTTAGTTTCTCTCAGTAAACTTTAGACAGTGTACACATAACTAAACTCATTCCAGAGTTCCAATCTGAAAAAGAGGTGCCAAGAAACAAGACATTTAATCAAAATATTTTTCCTGCCATTTCTAGCCAGGAGCAGGGAAGAGAAGATCAGCCTGGTAGTTTAATTAAACGTCCACCGTTTATCAGATCAGACATCAGATCAGAACATGACATGGGAGCATTTAACAGCCAGTCAATAGTCCAACTAAGGCAGGGAACACAGAGGAAGTGGCTCAACAGACAAAAACATGTCTCTAGGCAACCAGATTGGATCATGGCCCTCCTTGGGGTGAAGTGTTCAAACTAATCCCTCCATTCACAAATAAGCAAAGCCTGTTCCTTTTCTAAAGACTAACAAAAGTTTTCCCACCCTGAGAATCCCACAGTAACCCCACTGCAAATTGAACAAGGGATTGCATTATGTTTATACAGATCTCTGCAACGTTCTCCGTCTTTAGGTTTAGTTCACCATAGATCTCCATCTAATCTCATTGGTCTGTGTTAACAGCACATTTCTGTGCAGGTCTCACCATAACTACACTACAAAGCAACCATGGACTGCTCCTTTAAACCAGTATAAAAAATAAGATATGAATGGTTATAGAGCTGTTTAGCTCAACCTACACAGTGGCTCTGGGAAATATTGAGCTATGAAGCCAAAGAGTTAAACTAATTTTCTTAAGATTGTTGAAAGAGTTGGAAGTACTATGCCACACACTTCAAAGAGCTTGTTTATTGGGTGAAGTCAGATTCACTGAAAGGAGCTATAACTGATTGGCTCAACATCAAGGCGCTATGAGTAAAACTCACTTCAGCATGTTCACTCACTAGCTGCTCCTGTGACCGACCCAGTTACACATATACACTATATACATTACATTGAGCAATGAGCACTAGACCTTATATGACCCAGTGCCTTCCCTATGAGTACAATATGTTGAAAATACATTGAAAATACGTATTTTTTGTTGAAAAGACGTTGAAAAGACATTGGAAAGATGTCTTTCAACCAATTTTGCTCACTGGGTTCAGACTGGGTCCCTGTAGGCTATATGTTAGGACAAGTCTACAGGCAGACAGTAACCATACAGGACCTCAGATGACCCCAGGCAGGGCAGCCACTGATCAGCAGACCGCTAATCTACCAGAGTGAGGAACAACCACCTCAATAATTAATGCAACAAGAGATACATTGCTCGTGTTTAACCACCATTCCATCTTCCATGGCCTGTTTCATTGAGGTCACCTGCTGTCTCCAATCTGTAAGTTTAGCATATTTTACCAATAGCATTCACCATAAAGTACAGTACCAGTCATTAGTTTGGACACACCTACTCATTCAAGGGTTTTTATTTATTTTGACTATTTTCTACATTGTAGAATAAAAGTGAAGACATCAAAACTATGAAATAACACATATGGAATCATGTAGTAACCAGAAAAGTGTTAAACAAATCAGAATATATTTTATATTTGAGATTCTTCAAAGTAGCCACCCTTTGCCTTGATGACAGCTTTGCACACTCTTGGCATTCTCTCAACCAGGTTCATGAGGTAGTCACCTGGAATGCATTTCAATTAACAGGTGTGCCTTCTTAAAAGTTAATTTGTGGAATTTCGTTCCTTCTTAATGCGTTTGAGACAATCAGTTGTGTTGTGACAAGGTAGGGGTGGTATACAGAAGATAGCCCTATTTGGTAAAATAGTCCATATTATGGGAAGAACAGCTCAAATAAGCAAAGAGAAACGACAGTGCATCATTACTTTAAGAAATGAAGGTCAGTCAATATGGACAATTTCAAGAACTTTGAAAGTTTCTTCAAGTGCAGTCGCAAAAACCATTAAGCACTATGATGAAACTGGCTCTCATGAGGACCGCCACAGGAAAGGAAGACCCAGAGTTAACAGACACATCTCAACGTCAG